GAACTCTCCGCCTCTGTCAGAGTGCAGACGCAGAACAGGAAAGTCCGAGCTGAAGCTCCGCCTGAGCTGGAGACGAGCTGCGCAGATCTAGTCGATCAACACCTCAGTGACATCACCCTTGCTGCGCAAGGGGAAGACTGTGGTGTAACGCGATTAGTCATCAACCACCAGTAGGAAGTAGCGCTCGTTACCCTGTCCACGGACGCGGGCTGGGCCCCACACGTCCATGTGAAGCGTCTGCAGCGGGGCCACTGTCGGAGGAAACAGGGAGGAGTGAGGGGTAGCCCGCTGCCGCCCCTCGACACAGGGGACGCAGGTAGGGCCAGGACGCGGAGGAAGGGGAGGGAGGGACCGGGGAAGACCAGAGACAAGGACACGGGAGGCCATGCTCCGGAGACGAAGCAAGGAGTGGTGACCAAGGCGGTGGTGCTAGAGGAGAGTCTCATGAGACAAGAGGCAACACGAGCAGGGGGCAGACTCAGGACCAGACCTGGACGCTGCAGCTAACACCTGACCCGACGCAGCTACCTGACCAGACGCAGGGACTGGAGGAGACACAGTGGTCAGTGTGTACAGGCTCGACCCCGGCCGACGTGTAAACGTGGCCAGGTGTCGGCCTGTCCGAGCGTCCGTGCAGTGGGTCACCCGCTGACTCGCACGAGTGAACTGGTGAACCCCCGCATCCTGTAGGTCAGCACCACTCACCGAGTTCGTAGAGAACGAGGGGAGGTAAAGACCAGACAGGGTGCCAGAGGGGGCCGTCGGACAAGGGAGGACAGTGGAGAAGTGAGCAAGAACAGGACCCCCAGAGGGGTCTGCCAGGGAGACCGCAACTGGCCGACCAAGCGGCGTGAGTGTGGTGCGGTCTCGAAAGAAGGAGCGAGAAGCCCCCGAGTCAAGTGTGAAGGTGTGGAAGGCCGAAGCCGACGCAGTACCTGAGAGTGCAGACTCACCAGTTCCGGAGGAAGCAGACGCACTAGCACCTAGAGCAGCAGCCTCGCTAGCACCAAGAGCAGCAGCCTCACCAGCACCTAGAGCAGCAGGCTCAATGCCCGGGTCGGGCGGGAAACACCGGTAACAGTCACCCTCATCACTAATAGACACAGTATACATAGCAGCAAGAATAGCATCAAAGTCAAGGTCAAAGATAGCTACCCCTGCCCTAGACAGCTCGCCCCAGCGAGGGATCTCAGTGGCCTTAGGGAACTAGTGACGCCAAGCGTCCGTCAGGCGGCCAAAGCAGCGCTGGGTGGGGTGCGCACCCCCACACTGCTCACCCCCACGGTCGCCGGTGCGCAGGACGTAGGTGCACGGACCAGTACCCCCACCCCGCTGGCGTGCAGCGTACCACTCACGGAGCTGCTGAGGGGACAGGGTCTCCCTACTGCGCTGCTGCTGCTGGCGCTGACCACCACTGGAGCCACTCCTCTGCGAAGAGCCACGACCTCCTCCTCCTCCTCCTCCTCCGCCACCGCCTCCTCCACCTCCGCCACCTCCACCACCTCCGCTCCCACTGCCGCCGCCGCCGCCGCCTCCGCCTCCACTGCCGCCGCCGACACCTCCACCCCCGCCACCACTCCCACCACCACCCCCACCCCCTCCACTGCCTCCACCGCCGCCTCCACCGCCCCCGCTAGCTCCTCCAGCGCCCCTGCCCCTCTTGCCCTTGCCAGAGCGACGCTTCCTAGTAGGGGTAGACGCCGCACCGACCGACTCCAGACCAACGAGGTCGGCCGCAGCAGCAGAGGCAACAGAGGGCAAAAGAGGGGAGGGGAAACACCCCTCAAAGATGGGGGTGACTATGTAGTAGAGGGTGATGTACATGGGGGGGGGGGGGTTCTTGGCGCAGAACTCCGCAGGAAGCGCAGCGCGGTAGCGAGTGTCACTAGTGCGGAGGTGCGTAATGAGGTCAGCGACTGTGGGAAAGGTAGCAAGGTCAGGAAAGAGGTACGGTAGCATGAGGCGGCTCAGTGCAGCAGTGGCAGGGGAGGAGTAGCGTGCAACTACAGCGTCGTACAAGGTCTGAGCACTCTTGTACTGGCTAAAGTGCGCACGCTCAGAGGTAGGCAGGTGGAAAGGCATAGCAAGACGTGCAGCAGCATTGAGCGTGGCCCACTGTGAGCGAACAGTGGCTTCAGCATCAGCAGCGGGGGCAGGAGAGGCACCAGAAGTGAGGCCGTCTGCCCTATCGCATTGTAAGAAAAGCTGCATGTCATCTATCCAGACGTCAAAGTCAATGACCCGACCCTCAGCGTCAAAAGCGAGGACACTAGGGGTAGCCATGACAGCAGTAGACTAGCAGCGCAAACAGTAGGGTGAGGGCAGTGCTGTGAAAGAGGCGCTGCTCTTACCGGACAGGGCGGCTCGGGCGGCTTGGCTGCAGGGCGGCTCGGCGACTCGGCTGCTGGGCGGCTCGGCGGCTCGGCTGCTGGGCGGCTCGGCGGCTCGGCTGTTGGGCGGCTCGGCGGCTCGGCTGCTGGGCGGCTCGGCGGCTCGGCTGCTGGGCGGCTCGGCGGCTGGGCGGCTCGGGTGCTGGGCGGCTCGGCTGCTGGGCGGCTCGGCGGCTGGGCGGCTCGGCTGCTGGGCGGCTCGGCTGATGGGCGGCTCGGCGGGGCAGCTGAGAGTGCGGCGTCCGGGGCCGCTGGGAGGAGGCGGCAGGGCCGCTGAGAGGAGGCGGCGGGGCCGCAAAGGTAGGCGGCGGGGCCGCAAAGTTAGGTGGCGGGGCCGCAGGTAGGTGGCGGGGCCGCTAGTAGGTGGCGGGGCCGCAGGTTGGTGGCGGGGCCGCAGGTAGGTGGCGGGGCCGCAGGTAGGCGCCGGGGCCGCACAGGTAGGTGGCGGGGCCGCGGGTAGGTGGCGGGGCCGTAGGTAGGTGGCGGGGCCGCTGGTAGGTGGCGGGGCCGGAGGTAGGTGGCGGGGCCAGCAGGTAGGTGGCGGGGCCAGCAGGTAGGTGGCGGGGCCGCACAGGTAGGTGGCGGGGCCGTTGGTAGGTGGCGGGGCCGCAGGTAGGTGGCGGGGCCGCACAGGTAGGTGGCGGGGCTGCGGGTAGGTGGCGGGGCCGCTGGTAGGTGGCGGGGCCGCAGGTAGGTGGCGGGGCCGCACAGGTAGGTGACGGGGCCGCGGGTAGGTGGCGGGACCGCTGGTAGGTGGCGGGGCCGCAGGTAGGTGGCGGGGCCAGCAGGTAGGCGCCGGGGCCGCACAGGTAGGCGTCGGGGCCGCAGGTAGGCGCCGGGGCCGGAAAGGGCGGCGTCAGGGCCGCAGGGCGGCGCGAGGGCCGCTGGGTAGGCGACGAGGCCGCAGGGCGGCGGATCGGGGCCGGGTAAGGGCGGCGCGATGGCCGCGGGGTAGGCGACGAGGCCGCCGGGCAGCGAGTCGGGGCCAGGAAGGGCGGCGCGAGGGCCGCAAGGCAGGCGATAGGGCCGCTAGGGCGGCGCGACGGGGCGAGAAAAAAAAAGGGGGGAGCGCGACTCGGGCTAGGACTGGGCGCGCTCCGGGCAGAAAAAATGTCGAATTGGTGGGCCCTAGGAACAGTTCCCACGAGGGAACCTGCTCGATACCATGTTAGAAAAGAAACGAGAAATGAATGAACTATGAATGAATTGGGTACAAGTACTAACCCTAATTGGGTTGTACCCCTTATGGGCTACCCCACTATAACCTACACAATATGCATGAGCTATAATATTCTGACAACGGGAAGGGAGGGGAGAGAGAGATGGCGACAGGAAGGGAGGGGAGAGAGAGAGGGCGACGGAAAGCGAGGGGAGAGAGCGAGGGCGACGGGAAGGGAGGGGAGAGAGAGAGGGCGATGGATGGATTAACTGCACGAAAAAAACAAAAGAAAAAGGCTAAAATGGGTCGCGGTAACGCGATAGCAGAGGGAGAACAAGACGGCGACGAGAGGACAAAGGAGATATAGTTGCAAAACGAGGGAACGAGAGGGCGAGTGAGAGGGCGACGAAGTGGAGATGCAAAGGGAGACTCGAAGGGCGACGGGAGGCCGATTCGAGGAGAGGCGACGGCTCCGAAGTGGAGGGGGAGAGAGGAAGGACGGTCGGAAGGCCGATTCGAGGCGACTTACCGAAATCGCGACGGAAACGAGGTGGCTCGTGGGAGAAAGGAGGGGAAGGCTGATTCGTAGGCGAGTAGGGGGTGACGATTCATACTAAGCTAATATATTACGCATGTGAGCTAAGCCGATAGTTACGGCACGTGCCTAGGCCAGTAAAAAATAGGCGTTCTCAGCTATTCTATGCTACTTTGTGACTGAAAATCAGCTAGTTGTGAACCCAGTTCCAACTTGAAGTGGAAGTTCGCCCAGCGATGGAAACCATCGCTGGACAACGGTCGTGTGGGTGCAGCATGTAGAAATGCGACGGCGTGCCGTGTGCCCCAAAAATCGTTTTGGCGGGATCCAGAAAATTTCACGGAGGCGTGAGCCAATCAAATGAGTTCCCTCTTCCTACTCTTGTTTCGAACAGTGTTGTTTCCGCCGAACTCATCGCAGCGATTTCAAGCTGGGACGGCCTTCACAATTTTATATTTCGGTTTTAAGTCAATAGGAACAACTTGGTGAATTGCTTCTATAAGTAGAGTATTATGTACTCCATCATAATGCTTGTAACATACAGAATACGACGCTACGCAACCTTACCGACGTTACATCGAATCTTGTTTGCCTATATCGAATTGTCACTGCCAAAGAACTAACAACAAACCTGGAGTGTCATTTTATACAGTAGTACCGTAAGTCGGATAAGGTTTCACTTCGTTCATTTCCACATCCATTCTACCCATGGACTGCAGGAAAGAACTGATCCCAACTACAAATATCCTCGCCAACTTTGACATGATACGGTACATAAATACGAAAGGGGGATTGTTGTGTGCATGCATGTAGCCCACTCATCCAAGGAGGTGGAACTGGGCATGGTCAATCGTGAAAAGAGATTTCCTGCCATGACCCGATGTACGAATTCTCCTTTCATCAACCACACCATCCTCTACACTTTTAGTACAGCACCCCTTTTCCCCTGCTGCTTGAGCCTGCTGCTGCCATCACGACTCAGTCTCACAACCTTGGCTTGTTCCTCCTCCTCGTCATCACTCAGCGACCTCTGCAGCTTGCTTTTGGGCTTCTCCCTGCTCTTGGAGCTCCCCTTGTTCTCACTCCCCCTCACCTGTCCTACATCATCATTTTCACCGGATCTCTGCCCATCAGGTCTGCCCCGCAGCCTGCTCTGTTGCTTGCTGCCATCCAAGGACGCACTGACAGCAGTGCAATGCTGGAAAGGGTTTGTTTTTCGGGTTTGGTTCCTCGGCGGCCCATCTCCGAGGTCCGAAACCAAGGCAGGGTTCGGCACTTGCGCCTGTATGGGGTCATGCCTCTCAACCCTTCCTCGCTCCAAACCATCCCCCTCCGCTTCCCATTGCCACCCTCTCGTTGCCTCCACGTCCTCCCCTTCACCCTCCTCTTTCCATGGCGTCTCCTGCACCATGCGCCAATCCTCATCCCCCCCCACCCACTGCGCATTCTCTCCCGCTCCGGCCATCCCTCCAACTCTCTGCACATGCACACACACACCGCCATGCGAGCCCACACGAGCGTGCCGCGAAGCCCGCTCATCACATGCCGCACGCTGGGGAAGGTGGCAGTCAGGGAGCGACTCGGAGGGAGCAGGGCGGCGGTCGAGAGTGCGAGAGCGACGGTGGAGCACCGTGAGACCGTCCACCATGGCATGCTCCGCTATAGGATGTTGCGCCATCGGTTGCAACGCAACGAGATGCTCTGCGATGCCATGCTCCGCTATGGGATGCTCCGCTACAGGAGGCTGCACGTGCTGGAGCGAGTGCGAGTGCCACTGAGTCAAGGGGCGAGCGCAGAGCGCTGCACCATGCACCGTCGCAGCTGCTGCCTGTGGACCACCAACAGCACTACCGCCATCCGCGCCCCGCCACTCCCCCTCCTCCCACTCAGCGCCTTCAGCCCACAGCTGCTCTGACTGGCCCTCCGTGTGCTGGCGGCCGGAAAAATCCCTCGGGGGCCGGTGCTCACGGCAGGAGGGGGGACCTGGGGGAGGTGTTATCTGCGGCGTGGGCTCGCCATCGAGCAGCGCGCTGTCCCACGTGTGGAAGCGACTCAGCTGCCTGCTGCTGCTGGTGCCTCCGCCGTTGCTGCCCCTCCTCTGCCCCCCCCTCGTAGCAGCAGGCTGCGAAGTCGGACTCCCGGTGGCGATTGTTGATTGCCGGTGGATTGCAGGGGAGCTGCCGCCCAGAGAGGCCGATGGTAGCACCTGCTGACGTGGCGATTGCTGATAGGCTGTGGGAGCTGCCAGGGGGATGAGTCGAGGCGAGGGGATGGCGCAGGGAAAGCGGGGGGAGGTGGGGGAAGGGGATGCGGGGTCCAGGGGGGAGGCTGAGGAGGGGGGAGAGGTTTGCGCCACGGCGGAGCGCCTTCCCCCGTGCGCCCTTCCCCCTTGCGCCTTTCCCACGGTCGTCCCGCGGGGGGAATCACTGTGGTTGGCGCCGGGTCCACCGGGGCTGCGCCTATCGCGGCGTTGGCGGGTGTGACTAGCAGGCGACGCGTGGTGGTTCCTCGCTGATAATGGCAGCTCGGCCACGTCATCATCATCGCCTGCGTCGCAATCAATCACAAGGGCTGCGGGCCGCGGGATCTGACGGCTCAGCGTCGTCGTCGACCCTCTCGCCCTGTCGCTTGGGCGCTGCGGCTGCGCGTGGAGCATGGCCCGCGTGTCGGAATCAGCGGCGACTGCGGAGGGCATGACACGTGTCAGCGTCGTCGAATTTGCAAAGCTGGACTCTCTAGCCGCCAGATCTGGGTCCGAACCGCTCTTTAGTGTCCCGCGAGTCGCGGCGCGTCCGCCGGACGAGCGCGGCGAGGGGTGATGGGGAGCGCAAGAGGCGGGCTCGGCGCGCTGCCCGCCAGGGTTTGTCACTGCGCGGGGAAGCTGCAGTCGCGGCGAGGGATGATGGGAAGAGCCGGAAGAGGCGGGCTCGGCGCGCTGTCCGCCAGGGCCTGCTGCTGCGCGGGGAAGCTGCAGTCGCGGCGCTTCTCGCGGCGACAAATGATGCGACGGACGAGTGACGTCGGTCCGCGCCCTCGGGATCGCCAAGCGATCGAGCGACTCGCCATGCCACGTGTCGTTGTGGCGCAGTTGACGGGATTGGGGGACTGCGAGTCTCGTCGCCGCGGCGCCGCCCATCTCGGAGCTGGATCTCGGGCCGGGCCGCGAGCGTGCCGCTGCACACGCGTCGGCGGATGACGAAGCATTCGCCGTACGAGCACTAGCCGCGTCGAGTTGATCGGATCTTCGAAGGTTGTTTTCGCGGGTTGTCTTCGCCGTGCGTCTCGGCGCCGCACTGCCGCTGCTGCTCCGGCGGACACTCGACGGCGGTTCGAGCGCCGAGGTACTCGCGGACTGACGAATCGCACTGACGTGGCCAGCGGCGAGAGTGTGGTAAGCCGGCGAGGGCGTCGACTCGTCGGAGCCACTAGGGGACCCTGCCGAAGCGCTGCCGCATGACCGGGAAGCCGCCAAACGCGGCGAGGCCGAGGAGGACGTGGAGCTAATTTTAATACTTAAGGCCGATGGAGTTCGAGAAGCACGCGAATTTGGCGTCGATACGTCGCATTCGTACCCCTCCGAGAACTGCAATGACAGTCGCGGCGGCCCTCGCCGGTGGCTCGGCAGTTGCTGACGTGGCGAAGCCTGCGCGCCTGTCGGGACCCATCTAGTCGGCGCAGAGGTAACTCGAATAGGATCCAAATCGTCCGCATTACACGGCTTGTCGTTGTCGAGCAGCTGCATCATTCGCATCGCCTTCTCCGCTAATTGTTTTCTCGGCCCGCCTTGATCGCTACTCAGCATGACCAATGACGCAGCCATGGCGACAGGCAGGTTCTCGCAACCAATAAAAAGTGTTTGCAAGCTCCGCAAGAACTGTGAATGGGAAAGGCTAAAAAGCGAAGCCGCAGCTGCACAAGAAACATCAGCTGCTGAGAAAGAAAAGAACAACTGAGGCAGCCATTCCAGCCATGGCAGCGTGTGCAGTGCAGCAAACATGCCGCTTGGAATGGTATTCTTGTATATGGGGGATTGAGAATGGCGGTGATGGGTCTGGCTGGGTTGATGCGGCAGAGGGGCAAGTGGCGGCATGTGAGGTGAGCGGGTGACTGAGGGGACTTGGGACAAACGAATCTTCTTTGTCTAGATTCGTGGACGATCGCGATTTTTGAGGATGTGGGGTGGTCGAAGCAAAGCGAATGCGAATTGAACGACGAGTTTCGGCGGTTGAGGTAACGGTGCGAAAAAACCTGGGTAGCAACTCCGTCGTCACCCGCAGCACGCAATCCCGATTGCGACAAATCTAGGCGCCTTGATTACGCTGACGACAAAGAATACTTGAAAGGCGACGAACTCCTCCTTAGTCAACAATCTCAAGCAGTTGCATCTGAGATGTCCAGTTCAGTCAGTTCGCGCATAATGACGAGATAAGACGAGGAAACCTATAGTACACGCATAATGAAATGTAACGCCCCATTATCTTGATACCAGAATTAGCCCTGCCCTATATATCCATATGCAATATCACTTTTTACTGTGCAGTCCAAGAAGCAACCATACATTTCATTTACTTCAAGCTATTCTCCACATCGATGACAAAGCGATACTTCACGTCACCCTGCAAGAACACAACCATCCCATCAGAACAGTGCTGCAAGCAAACAGACACGTACTGCCAGTGTTTACTCTACCTGAAGTAAACGGTCATATGCCATGTTGATCTCTCCGATAGCAATTTTCTCAACCTGGGGAGCCACACCATTCTTTGCACAAAACTCCAGCATTTCTTGAGTCTCCTTGATTCCTCCTATCAAACTTCCTGCTACCATCTTACGCCCTGTGATACAGTGCCAGAGATAACAGTGAGTCATGAAGAGAGCAGACAAATGTGAAAAAATTGAACTACACTCCACGACGCGCAAGGCGAGCTCCACAGGCCTCACAAGCCTCACAATACAGGAAGCATGGAACCCCCTGCTGGTCTGAATGAGCATGAAAGCCACACACCAATGGCGATCTTTCCCCAGTGTGAATGCACTCACCAAACACAAGCTGACTGGCATGGAGAGTGAAGGGTGCAGGTGGGATGCCGAGGAGCAGCAGCTTTCCGTTGAACGTGAGGAGGTCGAGATAGGGCCCCAGCTCATGCTGCGCTGAGACCGTGTCGATGATGACGTCCAATGAGCCCGCTGCTGCCTGCTAGACCCACCAGCAAGAAAAGACAAGTAAGCAGGTTGATATATATATGTATATATATATGTATAAAACACCGAAAACCGTGGTCCGGCAACTAAAGAGGTGCCAATGCAAGAGCGGTGATAAGCCAGCCCACCTTCATGGCGTCAGCATCCTTGGTGACAATGAACCTGTGCGCTCCCATCACCTCCCTCGCCTCCCTCTCCTTGCCCTGCGACGTGCTCAGCACGGTGACGTGCATGCCAAACGCCCGCCCCATCTGCACTGCCACGTGGCCCAGCCCGCCCAGCCCTGCCACCCCCAGGCGCATGCCCGGCTTGTTGGCGCCGTAGCGCATCATGGGGGAGTAGACTGTGATGCCAGCGCATAGCAGAGGTGCTGCCACGTCAGATGCCAGCTCAGCAGGGATGGAGAGGACACAGCTGGGAGGGCAGGGCGCAGAAGGTGTGGGCATAGACAAGAATACATTGGAAGCTGAGGGGCTTTGCAAGAGCATGGGGGGCGACGACCAGAGAAGAAAGGAAAAAAAGATGATGATGCTGTGCATGATGAGGTGTGACAGAGGACTCGGGTCGAGGTTCAAAACGTACTGTTCATTGCAAATGATGAAGGAGGAGTAGCCGCCGTAGGTGGACTGGCCGGACGGCGAGAGCGGGTCGACAGAGTTGTACGTGAAAACACACTTGGGGCACGACTGCTCCTCGTGCTGCCTGCACGCCACGCACTCACCGCACGACCCCACCATGCACCCCACGCCCACTCGCTGCCCCGCTGCCACCTTGCTCACGTCCGCTCCCACCTGCACAACCACTCCTATGATTTCGTGGCTGCACGAGAAGCAACGTAACAAAAGAGTGACACAGAGAGAGGAGGTGAAGCGAGAAGAGCGACCGCAGCTGAGCACGAGGCGGTAGCACACTGGACAGAATAAGAGGAGCGTACTGAAGAAACGTGGGGAAGATTAGCTCACCCGGGAACGATGGGGTACATGGAGTTGCCCCACTCGTTCCTCGCCAGGTGCACGTCGCTGTGGCAGACGCCGCAGTGAGTGATGCGGATCTTCACGTCCCCGGGCCCCACCTCCCGCCGATGGAACCTCCATGGCGTCAGCTCCCCACTCGCGTCGCGCGCAGCGTAACCCACGCAGTTACCCTCGCCTTCTGCAGGAGCCATTGACGGGCCGTTTTAGTCCCTTGACTGTAGCTGTTGCTAAGGCGAAGCAGGGAGAGGAGAGATTCGAGTGACTTTACTTGGGACGGGGTGGGAAGACGACGTGAATATGACGATGAGGTTGTGGCACGCCATCTCATGGTGCTTAGACGAACGTGAACAGGAGGTGAAATTCACGCCTCTGGTTTGCATATGCCACGTGGCGAAGCGAAAATGGCTGGGACTGGAATAGGAATTCCCTCGCGTAAACAGAATGGCTTCGGGGATGACTAGCGTCGTCAACGAGGTATGGCGTTGCGATGCGGCACTTATGATCAGCTGTCTCGACAAGTGGAAGGAGCTATCTCGATTCGTGAATACCCAAGAGGGGATGGATGTGTTTTCGGCAGGCTTGGGGGGATGCAGCACGTACACCGGAATGCGGTTCAGTTGGGTTTCCTTGGTTTTGTAACGTTTCTAATTAGATGCCAGAGAAATCAAAGCGCGATAATGTACATAAAAAAGGAACTAGTTACACATTTGACAATTTAAATTCCAGCAATATCTTGCATTGAGTAGCAACTCAGCACTGTCCAATCAATTCTAAACCAGTAAAAATCTACACGAGTGTGTAGGCTTCTCCAGGAACACAAGCAAAATTGCACTGCAAGCGACGTACAATATGCAAAGGAGGCTGGAAACCTAACTTTCATCACTCTAATTTGTGGCAGTCAGATCCTTGAGACTGTTCTCTACATCAATCACAAAGCGATATCTCACGTCACCCTGCAAAACCAATCAAGCTCAACAAAGAATGGAAAGTAAAAGGTAGCATCGGGAATAAAAACGACACACACGGTGTTTTGCAGTTTGCACTTGTGAATGTGTTCCTGCCATAATGTTAAGTATCGTACCTTCAGCAAACGTTCGTGTGCCTTGTTAATGTCTTTGATGTCAAGCCTCTCCACTATGGGCGCCACACCCTTCTTTGCACAAAACTTCAGCATCTCTTGAGTCTCCTTGATTCCTCCAACCAACCCACCCGCAACCATCTTGCGCCCTGTCATGCCACCAGGCAGACATGCAGCAACAGCGCACAGAAATGGAAGACAGGCAACGATGATGAGCCAACCAGATTAGTTCCATGGAAGTTTGCAATAAAATAGGCAAGAAACGGGAGCCAGGCAGGGGCCAGGGGCTGAGCTCAGCCTAGAGCGAATGTTGCTTGCTGAAGCTGCGCAAACGGCACTCCGATGGATAAGTTTCTCACGCAGTAGTGTGATTACCGAATACAAGCTGGCTTGCACGGAGAGTGAAGGGGGCTACAGGAATGCCGAGAACGAGCAGCTCCCCGTTGAATGTGAGCAGGTCGAGGAAGGGCCCCGACTCATGCTGCACCGGCACCGTGTCGATGATCACATCCAGTGAGCCCGCTGCTGCCTGTGCACAGGCAAACAAGAAGCGACCAGGAAGGTTGAAGGTGTCTTTCTGGTTTTGGGGAAACATAACAGATATACTGGAATGGGAGTAATGGAACCCAATGTTTTCATGCCAAGCAGTGTCAACATGAGCAAACAACAACCACCCACCACACAAGACCCACCTTCATGGCGGCTGCATCCGTGGTGAGAATGAACTGGTCAGCCCCAAACAGCTCCCTAGCGTCCCTCTCTTGCTCCGGCTGTATGCTCAGCACCGTGACGTGCATGCCAAACGCGCGCCCCATCTGCACTGCTACGTGGCCCAGCCCGCCCAGCCCTGCCACCCCCAGGCGCATGCCCGGCTTGTTGGCGCCGTAGTGCATCATGGGGGAGTAGACTGTGGTGCCAGCGCACAGCAGGGGCGCTGCCACGTCAGATGCCAGCTCAGCAGGGATGGAGAGGACGAAGCTGGTGGGGAAGGTTGGGGAAAACGGAAACAAGACGGCAAGATAAGAAAAATATGTAAGAAACTGCAGAGGACGGGTTTGTGAGAGGGCCAACAGGGTGGCATATGTAGACAAAAAGAGGGAATGACGGCGTAAACTCTGAGAAGAGCATGACGGACATGTTTAAACAATGATAAACACATGGCTAAAATAGAATGGACAAGTAACATGGTTACACAACAGAGCAGAGCGACGTACTGCTCATCGCAAACGATGAAGGAGGAGTAGCCGCCATAGGTGGCCTCGCCAGACGGTGAGTGAGGGTCAACGGAGTTGGAGGTGAAGAGGCACTTGGCGCAGAACTGCTCCTCGTGCTGCCTGCACGCCTCGCACTCCCCGCACGACCCCATGATGCCCATCACTCCCACCCGCTGCTCCACTGCTACCTTGCTCACTTGCGCTCCCACCTCCTCCACCACCCCCACGATCTCGTGCCTGTAACGAGAACAAGCCATTTGAAGGAATGAAAAGAAACGTTGAGTGAACTTCAAGTTTCAGACAGACAGAAGGCGGGATGAGAGTCATGCTGCAAGTGAGATGGAAGATTTCGGACGAAAGATGCGATCGCGTGGAAGGCAGCAAGAGAAGAGAAGAATGGCGACGGGGAGAGGGACGAGGTTGGTTGGAAAAAGATGGCAGGATGGACGCAGCGACTTGGAACGGAGCGGGAAGAGCAGCTTACCCGGGGACCATGGGGTACAGGGAGTAGCCCCAGTCATTGCGGGTGAAATGCACGTCGCTGTGGCAGACGCCGCAGTGAGTGATGCGGATCTTCACGTCCCTCCGCCCCACCTCCCTGCGATTGAATATCCACGGCGCCAGCACCCCGCTCGCGTCGTGCGCGGCGTAGCCCACGCAATTGCCCTCTCCCTCTTCGGGAGCCATGGACTGGTTGCTTGACAGGTTATGAGAAAAAGCGCGAGAGACTGACGTCGAACGCTTGGGAGGACGGCGAGGAAAGAGCGCGCCGGCATGAGACGTACAGTGGCCATAACGCGGCGGTACAGCGGACTCGGAGAGGGCGCGCGCGGGGTGCGCAGGCCGTGCGCGGTGAGCGTGAGAACGAGGAGGTGATTGTCACGCAACTGAGCGTCGGAATGAGTACCGTCGGACTGATCGAATTTGCGACACATGCGAAGCCTGAGCTAGGTTTGAGATTCCTCTGGGCCACATCTCGCAGATCGGGAGGGCCGAGGGAGGGCAGAGAATGACGTGCATGGTGTGGTCAAGCGAATGAGAAGCTTGCCTATCACATCATGGATGTCCCCTGGGAAACTCGGGGAAAAACGGAGTTCCCGAGGGAAGAACCTTGACACTGAATGGGACTTCGGATTTTGACGGAGTACGGTATTGCAAAATACGCACTATGCGCGTCATAGCGAACTCATTTTACACACAATGAAGCGCATGAACTTATTTCCTACCACTATTGTGCTTATCTGCTACAAATCGTGCTAAGCAATAAACGCTAGAGCGAGGATAATTATCGCTATATGCCAAAGAGATCCGAAAACGAGATTTCTCATTGCTGCCTTGGGCTCTCCAGAGGGAGCAGGCGGAGCTGGTGGCACACTAATGTCTCTGGGAATGGTGGCGCAATCAATACTCGTGCTCAAGGCAGTCAAGGGGGGGGCTCCCACATAGTCACCGGGAACAAATCTGTAGGGGCAGCAGGGTGAAGAAGAGAGAGAATGGTGAACACACAAATGGGTGCAATGGTGGAACCAAGATAAACAAATGGTCACGAGTAAAAGGAGGTGTATGCAGGGAAAGCGGGTGTGATGGCGGCACTCACATCAAGTGTTGCACGTCGCTGATGTTGGCGTAGGGAGTCTTCTGACCCGTGGCCTCCTCCAAGCACACTATGCTGCGATCGTACGCCGCCACCTGGCACACGTAGCCCCCACCTGCTGCCACCGGCCGCGAGAGCACGAGGCCACCTCTTGGAGGTGACTGGGGGAGGATAATGAGGACAAAGGGAGAAACAGGGGGGAATGATTTGGAATGCTCATCAACAACAGCCACTTGCGTGCTCACAATATATATGTGCAAAATATATACGTATATGAAGTGTAGATAGCTAGCAACTCACGTTTTCGCCCATCTGCTGCTCGAATTGCACGAAGGACTGCATGTTGCCTGCCGAGCACCCGCTGCCGCACTGCATCAGCTGCTGCATGTCCAGCCGCCCTATCACGCCGCCCTCCGACACGCTTATGTACACCAGGTAGTGCGGCGGCTGTGTGCGGGAATGGGTGATGAAAAAAGGATGGGGAATGGGGGAGTTGGGGAGTGGAGGACGGAGGAAGAGGAGGGGAGGGCAAGGAGCACTCTGCATGAGCTGCTGCGTGTTCAGCCACGCTATCACCCCGCCCTCCGCCACGCGAGATAGTGCGGAGGAGAGAAGAGCACGTCAATGTGCACCAGGTAGGAAGGGAAAGGGAAAGGGAAAGGGGAAGGGGAAGGGGAAGGGGAAGGGGAAGGGGAAGGGGAAGGGAAAGGGGAAGGGGAAGGGGAAGGGGAAGGGGAAGGGACAAATGCGGCCCGCCACGTGTTTCGCACCTTGGGAGTGAAGACCATCCTGAGCGGCGTGTAGTCCACGTTGAACGTCAGCGGCTGCCACGCTGTCACGTTGGGGCGCGGCCGCGGCGTGGGCTGCGGCTGCCCGTTGGGCTGCGCGGGCGGCGGCTGGACGGCACTCAGCTGCAGCATGTGGATGGCCTTGTTTGTCGCATCCAGCACGAAGAGGAAGCTCTCGTCCGGCGCCATGTACAGCTCGCCCTGCGCGCGCGCGGCGGAGGTGGGGGGAGGTGTGGGGGAGGAGGTGGGAGCGGGGTGGGGAAGGGAGGGGGGAGAGGAGGTGGAAGGGAAGGTAGGGAGATGAGGTGGGGGGCGAGAATGGGATCTAGAACGGACTACTCCATTCGACCGCATGCCCCCACTGCTCCTGGTTCGTTTCCGTTTCTTCTCCGCACGACCTCCCCTTCTCCCGCTCCTTTCCCCACACCCAATCCACTCTCACTCTGCCAAACTCGCGCGCTATACTGCATAACCCCGCTTGTACAACAACCCCCCCCGCATATTTCCCCCCCCGAGGCGCTTACAGCGAACGGCCAGACGGCCACGATCCGGTTCGTGCGCGCATCGATCTGCACCGTCGCCAGCTTCCCCGCTCCCGCCAATCCATCCGCCACGCTCGCCTTCCGCGCGCCCGCGCCCGCCTCGCTCACACCGATCCCGATCCCGCCGTCAGCAGGGGAGACGGGGGAGGCGGCGGGCGGAAGCGCGCAGGAGACGAATGTGTGGCGCAGCACGCGCGCATACGCGCTGGAAAGCGCGCCGGGGCAGGCGCGCTGTGAGACGGCGGCAGCTTCCTGGAAGGAGAGGAAGAGCGCGGGCGCGGTAGAGGGGCGCGCGAGGTCGACTGTGTACACCCCCGATGATCCCGAGGTCGTCAGATAGCCGCGCGTGCCCAGGTCTGCGCATACAGTACAACGGGGGCAAGGGGGAAGGGGAGAGGGGAAAGGGGAAAAGGAGAAAGGGGAGAAGGGGAGATGGGTTGGCGGCAATCTCGAGGCAAGTTGCACGATCACCGAAGTGTGCGGGCAGGTGTGCGTGAGTGAAGGTGTGCAGGGAAGCATACGGGAAATTGGATGCTGGGAGAAGGGACTCACTGGGGCTCTGAAGCAAGCGCGCGCGCCCCGCGGGGAGCATGGTGTTGATTCCCTGGCTGTGCACCTCCGTGTACGGTGGCTGCGCCGACAGAATGGAGAACGAATAGCGGTCCGCCACGTCGGCCGCGTGCACCCACACCTCGTTCTGGGGAGCGGAGAGGAAGGACCGGGAAGGAAGGCGCGGAGGGGATGGATGGACAGGGAGGGAGGGTCGGTGATGCGCGGTGGGTGGTTGAACGGGACTAGCAATGCTGTGGTTATGGACGGCGGAAAGCGCCACGCGTTCACGGAACGGAGAGGCATGTTGTGCTTACAGCGATGGGAACGAAGTAAACGCTATCCGGCGTGTTGTTCAGCGACACTCGCGCCGTGACGTCCGCTGCGACCGTGTCGAACACGTGCAGCGCGTCCGTGAGTTCCGGCAGGCGAAGCGCGCCCGTCGTGCTGTAGCTCGCCGCGGCCAGCAGCGTGCGCTGCGCGGGGCCGAACGCCACGCTGCGCCACTCACCCCTGAGTGCGGCACGCGGTAGGTAAACGAGCGGGAAGGAGCGGAGTGCGCAGCGATGTGGATTCAAGAAATGCTCGTGCACAGAAGGGATGTGCGCGGATGCGGAGGACGCCGAGATTGGATTTTCAGAGGGGTTTCTTGGCTTGGAACTGTGCATCTAGGTATGAATCGCACCAGAAGGGGTTCCGCCGCACCCGAGGGGTTGTACAGTACAGTACCTGAAGGGGTGCGCTGGGCACTTGTTGGGGAAGGGCACGTGCCCCGATGGCCCCTTGAACGCGCGGAGCGACGCCAGCGGACTGCCTTTCGTCGGGTCGATTAGCACCACCTGGCGTCACGTGATTGGGCAGCCAGGGAGGGTAGGTAGGCAGGAATGGGGAGGGGAGAAGGCGTGAACGGAATAGCGACGATACGTGGCCGCCGTCACGTCGTTGAAGGCACATTATCTGAGGTGCCTATCCATCACCAGTCGTTAAATACCGACCACCGCGCACTCGCACCACTCTCCCCCTCTCGACCTCTCGCGCTTTCCCGCTCTCCAGCATTTGTACGGACTTAAGACTTTATCGCGACGGCAACGGTCGAGCTTGCAGCCGGTCAGTGTGGCGCCACTAAACCTCTACTTGATATTCTAACGGTTATTCGAGTAAGACGACAAAACGACTTCGTGATTTCAACGTCGTGTCGCGTCGCAGAAATTGTCTAGAAGTTGATATCACGAGCTTGTTGATATCGCGCCGTGGCTCTAGGATTTTTTTATGGATGACAGGCAGCCCATCACGTGAGGTGACACTTGCCTGGCCGTCGGCGAAGGCGTAGAAGATTCCGCGACTCATGGTTGCCACCACGTCGGCGTGAACCAGACGGCAGAGGCACACCAAACCGAAAAGCAACGACGCGGCTCGAATGACCTCTCGGGACGCCATGATCGGAAGTATTTGCAGTCAGACCGTAGTGATAGCAAGAAGTCTAAAAAGTACACAATTTCAGGAAGTATACCCCACACGAGCGTCTGAATACGTGCTCGCAAGGACTGTCAGAAAAGCGTACTGATATGTCGAGCTATTGTTGAAGGGATGAGGAATGAGCTGATTGCTCCACGAGGTGCAAAAGCGGGCTGGGGCGGAACATGCATGGGATATGGTTGGAAGGAGTTGCGCGTGATGCAAAACAATTTTGCGCCACTTTGCTGCTGGTGCGCTCCACACAGGCGGCTGCAGTGGGCAAAATGTGCTTTCGGCCGACCATCCGCGCGCTGCTGGTGTCCGAAATCCGCCTCTGCGCCGTTCAGGCGCTGGCTCTGGTGCGGATTGCGCGCTGCGGTACTCCAGAAGTGCTGGAATTGGCATGTCAATGGCGGAGCTGCCACCAAATCTGCGCGTCGTGGGACTCTAGGGGTGATGATTTGGCTGCCCTGGATCAGCTGACATGGCAATGAAGGTGGTTCTTCAACGCAAAAGCGCCTCGCCACATCATCATGATGCCACAGTAACGAGCCTGCTTGACCAGTGACTGGAGTCCCTTCGCTACAAAAAACTCACGTATCGTGCCGCGCCGCTAATCCAGGAATTGGACATTCGCATCGCGGGCGCTCTCCACTCCACCAATGGAGTCTCCTCGTGGAGGGACTTGGGGCGCACGCAATTCTCATTCCACCGCAAGCCGAGTGTGAGTGAGCGCTTGGCTCTGGTGTGCTTCGAGCAACCAGTTCGTGCTTTGCTTTGTGAGATGCCGGTGCTAGAGAGTCGCTCACTGGTAGCAGACAAGCAGAGTTTCTCGGGTCTTAGCGCTCCTCACAACTTCTCTTCAACAGACCATGTTGCCCACTGCCCGGTGAGCCCCCTACTGAATCTGTGAGTAGTGTGGATGCCTCATCTCGTTTTACCGCCTTCCTGAATTTTGTTTCTGCTCGTAGGCTTCCTCGTAGGTATTGTCCGAGTTCAAGGAGGCCAGATAGGCTTAGCTGGTGTAACCCCCCTACTTTGACATACCATCGACCTTTAATTGTCGCTCAAAGCTCGTGGAAAACATGGCTCCGCGGGTACCGTGGCAACTATTCCTATCTGCTGTAGTCGTGCTCGCGTCGCTCTGCTCGCTAAGTCGTGCTGACGTCACTCTTCCCGATCCACAGCGACCCGGCCTCTTCTATTTCTTCATGTCCGGACAGGTTAGTACGCACGGGTGCGCTGGATTGTTTTGAGCTGCCGCGGTCGCATAGCACAGATTCGCGCCGAATAAAATTCATTATATCCGTTGCCGCACTTCCCTTTAGCAACGGACGCAAAGCCCCACACACCGTGCAGCCGATGGCTAACTCTGTTCGCCGTAGTCACACTCTATCCGCTTGTGCCGGCCACTCTTCACCATACTTGCTCCGTGCCCACCGTCCGCCTCGTGCTTCCCTCGTGTGCGACAGATCGTGGTGGTGGACCCGGTGTCGCAGAAGGTGGTAACGAAGATCAACCAGACGTCGCAAGGCGCCCCCGCGCCCTTCCCCAACTCCTGCCCCGGCCACCCCATGCAGTAAGCGCCGTGCCTCCTCGCTCCAACTAGTAACCACCGACTCGATCTGCGAGACGTGCGGGGAGCGTTGTATGGTTCAATATAGAGCTAGAACTGCATTGAGTGCGCGCCTCGCAGTACGACAAGAGCTCGTCGCCAACCCTCGTTCTAGCTCTTAAATGCCAATTCAATTTCGAGCGACCACTCTTTCATAATCCCCCGCATTCCCACCCTCTCCCTCCCCCCGCCCTTCTCCGTCGTCCCCTCCTCTCCTTCCACGCCCCGCCCCCTCCCTTTTCCCCTTCCCCCTCACCTTCCCCGCTGAGCCCCCTCCCTTCCCCTCCGCAGAGGCACGTGGAACCGGCACACGACGGGAATCGATCAGCAGACCATCTTCATCACCGCCAGCTTCCAGCAGCCCACGCCGCTACGATTGCCGGGGTTGTCGGACATGGTGCTCGTCGTCAACACGTCGTCGCAGAGCGTCGCAGCGTCCGTCGCCGTGCCCGACATCCCCAACGACATCGTCTTCGTGCCTGAAGTGGTGAGTGCTGACGTGGTGTGGATTGGGGAGGGGATCGGCTTGTCAATAATGAAGGTCAACAGCACTTACAGTTATGGCCGAGATTTCGTGAGGGATTCAATGTGTTTGTCGCCCTACTTACTACTGTCAACTTCGTACACGAGTAATCTTCAATATCAAGGACAAGAGCGTGTTAACAACTTTCGTCTTTCGTAATCGAGCGCGCCACGAATTGAATCCGGAAACTGATGTACCCCTCGATACAATCACATTCGCAGGGAAGCGTGTTCGCCCACGCGGACGTCAACGGCACATTCGCCGTCATTTCCGCAGCGCCGCCGTACACCTTGCAGCGCGCGCGCTTCTCCTCCGAGTTCGCCGAGGCGGGCTACGGCCGCCTGCTCGCCGACTCCGGTACGCCCTCTTGCCCCTTCCGCTCCCAACCCGTATGCTGTGCCGCGCGGCTTGTCCTGCATGCGCACTTCACGCCGACCCCGCCGTCAGCGCCCCGTCCTCCGCATCCCGCTCCCGCCCCGCTTATCAATCTCTCCCCACCCCGCCACTCAGCACCGCTTTCAACCTCTTCACCTCTGTGCCGTCCCCCACCATTCCTTCCAATTCCTGCCCATTTTCGCCCATCCCCATCCCTTTCTTTCCCCCCATTTATCCACCCGTCCAACCGGCCGCAGCGCTGAACGGCAAGGCGTTTCAGACGGCGTCGCAGATGCCGGGCGTGTTCTCGCTGAACCTCTTCACGCAGTCGACCGACGTGCCGTTCCTCGACTTCACCCAGGCCATGCTGCAGTCCGAGCCCTGGCTGCCGCCCGACACGCCCATCTACTGCCCCGGTGAGATCTCGCTCGTGCGTTACCGCGTTCGCGCCCGTGTGTTGACCTGGTTAGTTGTCCTGGTGACATGACGCGCACATGTCTGTTGTACAGGTGAGATGACACGCTTGTCCTTTCCCGAACCCTCCCCCCCTCTTTCTTCCCCCCAGCGACGCGCGAGGCGGTGTATTCGGCGGTGAATCGGCGTGCGTACGTGTCGTGCGCCAAGGCGGGCAGCCCGCCCGACCCCAACGCGCCCGAGCCGGGGATCGTCGAGATCGCGGGCGACGACAGCGTGCCCGTGGGGTACCTCAACTTCAAGGTGGGCGAGGGGGGAGGCGAGTTGAAAAGGCAGGGCGGGGGTGAATCGGGTGTGATCCGCAGGGAGCAGATGCGTCCATGCCACCCCTCACTGCACCGTCTCATCGCATCTCATCCGTGCGTCCCCTCCGTGTGTCCCTCCCAGGTGGACAGGCTGTACCTGATGCCAGATGAGACGTTCCTGCTGGCCGTGGACAGTCGGGCAAACGCTCACATCCCTCAAGCTCGCACCCTCTTGTCTCATCCTTGCCTCCCACTTCCGTGCGTCCCTCCGCGCCCCCCTCGCGCCCCCCTCGTTGTCCCCTTCCTTTCCCCCTCCCAGGCGGACAGGCTGTACCTGACCCCGGATGAGACTTTCCTGCTGGCGGTGGACAGCGGCGCGGGGGTGATCCGCATGGTGCAGATGCTGCCGGGCGTGGGCAGCGACCAGGTGTTCTCGCTGCAGTGGCCTGACGTCACTCTGCCGCCCAACTCCATGCCCGACAAGATCCTCTTCTACCCCAAGGTCAGCACCGTAGGCCCCCAGTGCCTTGACTCGAGCCTTCTCATACCTTGGAACCTCCTCTGCTCTGCTCCCACCATGCCACTCACTCCATCTCCTCCATGCCCACCACCTCTGTCGCCTCCCTCGCCTTCTCCCCTCTCTCAGGGGCTGTTCTACGTGGCGCTGGTGTCGCTGGTGCTGAGCTCTCTCCTCCACCTCCCTCCCTCCCCTCCCCCTTCCCCTCCCTTCTCCCCCCATCTAACAGGGCATGTTCTACGTGGCGCTGGTGTCGCTGGTGCTCAAGGACAGCACGGCAGTGATCGATTTCAACAAGCTGCTCGCGTGTGGCGCGCAGTGCCCTCAAGACAACATCGCTGCCGCCCTCACCTTCATTAACACCGGTTATCATGTAAGCTGCACTCCCCCCCGTTATATTACTCTCACAGTTTTGTATAGGCTGTTTACCATCTTATGTTGGCCCATCCCACTGTACCCCTGTGCACTCATGGCGTGCCTATCTCTGGCTCCCTGCACTCCTCAATTCCCTCCTGCCCCCCTGGCCTCACAACCTTAACCAATCAGGTGGCGCCACGTGCCAACATGGATTTGAGCATATCGTCGCGGAGCATGGCAGTGGGGCATCAGTTTGTGTGCGTGGCAGCCAATCACGACAAGGCGGTGCACTGTAGCAACCTTGTCAACCCGGCGAACAACAAGATCTACACCAACATGTTTGACGTGCAAGATATAGTGTAAGTGGGCTGTGTCTCCCTTCCAATGCTTCACACGCAAGTGCGACACCAGCTGGAGTGGATGGGCTGGGCTGGGCCTCACAAACTGGGAGTCATGCCGCAAGACTGTGAGGTCAACAACGTTGCTCCTCTAATGTGTGTTCTCATCCTACACCGTCTTCCCTACCCACGCACTCCTGCCACTCCCCCATCCCCACAATGCATGTCGAGGAGTAAAGCATGCGGGCAACCAGTGATTCACCACACAAGGCCCCAAAACGGCTTTCAAGTCACTTGGTAACTCAACATCATGTCGCCTTGCTCCCCTCCCTGCGCCCGTACTACCCCACCCCCTCACCACACCAGGTTCGTGGAGGGCAAGTATCCGGGCGACCAGTCGTTCATCCGCCCCATCGACACCACCTTCGACTGCTCCTCCGCACCCACCACGCTAGACAAGCCACCACCACCCCCCTCGCCCTTGGACCTCGCCGTTGCCGCGCACTTGAGAGGCTCCTAACCGCCGATTCCTCACCTCGAAAGGCTCTTGGTTGATGCACAATCGCCTCTTCATCTCCCCACCCCATCCCACAATAAGTGCAGCTCCACTGTTGATCTCAGAGTTGTGCCTTGTTGTTGGCCATCGTTGCCCATAAGGCATCTCGACGATTCTGACACAATGTGCCTTGTGCTCTTCGCTGTATGCTTCTCAAAAGATGTAGAGATTGATGAACGGAGTTGGATGTAGTTGTTGTACGTAGCTGTATTCGAATAAGTGCATTAAGTAAAATTTATCAAGAGCTGAAATGAAGCCAATTAAAGCTCGCGGCCCAAATTGTTCAACCTTAGTAAGCTAAACCTTAAGCCGCGAGCTTTAAGAAATGTCTTTTAGGGCGCACACCTCGGGGCTGGAAGGCCCAAATCCGAACATACGTAACGAATTCACTGTACGAACAGTTTCCCGACGAGATCCGAACACAAATTTGAACACCTTGGTGAATGTGACAGCTCGTGACTAGAGGTGACAGCCTGTTCGAACATGCGACGTCGCCAAGTGCTGGACGACTTCGCAAAACGTCGCAAAAAAATAATTCTGTCGTCTGCCATTCAAGTTTGACTCATTTTTCGCCCATCCAGTCAAACAGTCTCTTCGTGCTCTTCTACTACTGCTCACCTTGTTGTTTCCCAACAACAATGTCCTTTTTGATGAACTTTCTCCTGCATGGCGACATTTGCAATGGTCGCAAACATTCGAGTGCGACCCGAAGCCTGCTAACCAATAAAATCAGTCGTCCATGCGGAATTCCTGTCACCAAACCCAGCTTTGTTCGAACAACTCTGTTCGAACGTGCGGGATGGAGAGCTTCGTGCCCCGTGTGACAACTCTGTTCAAATTCGCGAAATTTCCGACTAGCGACGTCACGAACACCCATACGAGGAGTGGCGAAAATGTAACATTTCGCCTGTTCGAACAACCGTCCTGTTCGAACTGAGAGGTGAAGCGCCCTTAGCGCATCATTTCACAAATCATTTCACAATTCACAGCCCTTCTCATTTATGCTTAGCAGAATTGCTGCATACTCACCCCTGCGCCTCGCATGCATCCGCATGCGCACTAAACTGCCGTCCATCGCGCGTGCCCGACGTCTTTTTTACATCGCGCTCACCGCCTCCCATCCACCCCGGGCATTGGCTGCGCCCGCGCGCCTTATGGCGCTCAGAACGTTCCGCCTGGCGCCCATTTCTCCCGTAATTGCCCCCCTTGCGCGTTCGACTCTCCCACTCATCGATCGCATCGGCAGTGTCCGCCATTTCAGCGGCGGCGGCCTGCGCGCTGCCTGCCGTTCGATCGACGCAACAATCCAGAGCGGCGAACGCGGAGAGGCGAGCGCGCGAACTTTCGCGCATTTTGATGGCACGCAGACGTTTTCCGCGCGCAGCACGCCCGCGAATTCCCCCCGTGAAGATACCCGCGGCTTGATGGGGGATTACCTTTCCGCCTCCCGCTCCGCCGAAAGCGCGCGGGAGGGAGGCGCCCCCGCGAACGGCGCCGCAACGGGCGGCGACACGATCGCGGCGGTGGTCACTGCCGTGTCGTCCACGTCAGGCGGCGTCGCGATTGTGCGGCTCTCCGGCCCCGCCGCTGTGAGCATCGTGCGGCGCATGTTCCGGCCAGCGCGGAAAGCGAACAGAGCGCGGAAGCAAGGGGGAATGGCCAGGGGAAGCGGAGACCTTGGCGGATGGGCGGGAAGCGCGGGGAACGGAGTGTGGGGAACATATACTGGGGATTTCCGGGGAGAGGGGAGTGAGGGGAACGAGTTGGCCGGAAGCAGCGAGGAAGGGGAGGGGAGAGGCGGAGAGGCGATGGGGAGAAGTGGGGGGAGCGGGCAGGGCGGAGCGGCGGGGGAATGGCGCGCGGAGAGCCACCGAGTGAGCTACGGGCACATCGTGGACGAACAAGGGGCGACCATTGATGAGGTGCGCGCAGGGGATGCAAGGCGTCAGGGTTTAGGGGTCAAGGCGTCAGGGTTTAGGGGTCAAGGCTCAGGGTTTAGGGGTCAAGGCTCAGGGTTTCGGGTTTATGCGCCGTTGCGTGGCTCTGGGCGTGGGTTGATAAGCCTAAGCAATGATGGTGTGTGACTCACCAAGTGCCACGGCTTCCCATGCTGGACGCGCTGAGGATGTGGTGAGGTTTGTCCTGTCGTCCTAAAGTCCACATGCTCTCGTCGTCCACATGCTCTCGTCGTCCACGTGCTCTTGTCGTCCACGTGCTCTCGTCGTCCACGTGCTCTCGTCGTCCACGTGCTCTCGTCGTCCACGTGCTCTCGTCGTCCACGTGCTCTCGTCGTCCACGTGCTCTCGTCGTCCACGTGCTCTCGTCGTCCACGTGCTCTCGTCGTCCACGTGCTCTCGTCGTCCACGTGCTCTCGTCGTCCACGTGCTCTCGTCGTCCACGTGCTCTCGTCGTCCACGTGCTCTCGTCGTCCACGTGCTCTCGTCGTCCACGTGCTCTCGTCGTCCACGTGCTCTCGTCGTCCACGTGCTCTCGTCGTCCACGTGCTCTCGTCGTCCACGTGCTCTCGTCGTCCACGTGCTCTCGTCGTCCACGTGCCGAGGACCTGGTGGAGCCTCACCTCATCAACCTGCTCTCGCCTCTTCCCCCGCCTCTCCTCCCTCCTCTCTCTCTCCCCCGCCTCGCAGGTGCTGGTGCTGCCCATGCTGGCGCCGCGGTCGTACACGAGTGAGGACGTGGTGGAGGTGCACTGCCACGGTGGCAGGGTGTGCGCCCACTCCTGCCTCGCCACTGCCGTCCACCTCGGCGCCAGGCTGGCAGGAGCAGGTGATGACGTGGCATGAGGTGATGTGGCCTGCCAGTGTGCTGTCATTTGACATGGTGTGCCATGTGTGTTCCACAGTCAATGCGCACAACACAGTGCTCCGTGTGAGTAAGTGCCCAGGCCAGCTCACACCATTGTCGTCCCGTGTCCCCCACTCACTGCACCCACACATGCACCTCCTCACTACCCCCCTCCCCCCTCCCTTTGTCCTCCCCGAGCTGGGTGGCTTTGTCACAGGCGGAGGTTGTGGCAGCCCTCATTCATCCGCTTCCCTTGTACCCCTCTCGCTTCCCTCTAACCCCCCCTACTCTTGTGCATCAGGCGAGTTCACCCTACGCGCCTTCCTCAACGGGCGCGTGGATCCGGCGCAAGCAGAGGCGACGGCTGCCCTCATCCGCACCCCCTCACTCCCCCTTACCCACTCCCCCACTGAGCCCCAGGCGAGTTCACGCTACGAGCATTCCTGAACGGGCGCGTGGATCTGGCCCAGGCGGAGGCCGTGGCGGCGCTCATCCGTGCCGACACCACCGCTGCTGCGCGCTCCGCCCTCGCTGCTGTTGAGGTCCGTCCGTAGGAGGAGAGGGGTTGGGGAAGGCGGGAGGGGGTTGGGGAAGGCGGGAGGGGGTTGGGGAAGGCGGGAGGGGGTTGGTGAAGGCGGGAGGGGGTTATGGAGAGGCAGGCATGGTACGGGTGGTGCGCACGCCATTATTCTCGCCAACCACACTTGTGCGCTCTCCTGTTCCCCTGCTCTGCCACATTCACCATTCACACTCCACCATGCTCCATCCACCATCCCATGCTTCCATCCTCTCCTCACCGCCCACCCTTGTCCCCACACTCTCTCCTTGCTTCCCGTGTCACATTCACCATCCACCATGCAATGTCAGGGCGGCTTATCTCGTCACATCCGGGGCGTGCGGGCGGCGTGCATGGAGGTGCTGGTGGACATCGAGGCGCGCATCGACTTTGAGGAGGATCTCCCACCGTTAGATGCTGCGGACGTCAGCCGTCGAATCGACACCATCTGGCAGCAGATCAACGAGGCCCTTGCGACCGCCAATCGCGGCCGACTGCTGGAGTACGGCATTCAGGTGGGGCTGGCTGCAGCACTCATGGACGTTGCAGAACCGCTGTAATACAAGTAACAGATAATGCCAAGTTCCTTGTCAACTCCACTTGTCCACGTTGTCAGCACCTCAAGCGCTCTCCCTCTACAGCTGCCTCCCCTCCCCCTCTCCCTCTGCCCCTCCACGGCATCCCTCGGCAGGTAGCAATTGTGGGTCGTCCCAATGTGGGCAAGTCAAGCTTACGGAACGCGCGGCGCAGTTGGAGAGGGCGATAGTGACGGACACGCCTGGCACCACAAGGGACGTGGTGGAGGCGCAGCTGCACCTGCCACTGTCTTGGTTTCAAGCATTCTCACTCTTCAGCTTCCTCCCCTGCCCTCGCTCCTCCATCCTGTACGACACGGCGTCCCTCAACAGGTGGCAATCGTGGGGCGGCCCAACGTGGGCAAGTCGAGTCTACTGAACGCGTGGACGCAGTCGGAGCGGGCCATCGTGACGGACACGCCCGGCACCACAAGGGACGTGGTGGAGGTACAGCTGCACCTGCCACTGTCGGCGGGGGGCTTCCCCGTGCGCCTGGCGGATACGGCTGGCATCCGCCACACCACGGACGCCGTTGAAGCCATCGGTGCGTGGACGGCCGCTTCAGTGCTTCGTTTCCCGGCTTAGTGCGTCACGTAGATGTGGTTTGCATGGCATCCCCAACGTGGTTACGCCTACCATGGATGCCGTTCATGGCTTGGTGCTGAGATGAGTGTGTCAAGTCCTTCATGCTTGCCTTCCCATGCCGCCTCACCAAATCTCCGTCTTTGCTCTCCTGCTGCCTTGTGCATCGTTGTGCCGCCCCTGCATTGCGGTGCTGGCAGGTGTGCAGCGGTCGGAGGCGGCAGCAGCGGCAGCAGACGTGGTGCTGGTGGTGGTGAGTGCAGCAGAGGGGTGGACAGCAGAGGACTCGGCCATTTTCCACCGCATCTCCAGTGCCATGGGCTTGCACGCACACACACAGGGACATGCTGATGAGCATGCGCATGCACATGCACACGCGGATACACAAGGAGCAGTGGAGGAGGGGCGACCTCTGGAAGCAGGAGATGGGTCGGCAGAGACAGCAACAGCAGCGACGGCAGCAGGAGCAGCAGCGGCGGCGGCAGTGGCAGCAGAGACAGAAATAGCATCACGAGCAGCAGCAGGGGCAGAAGCGGTGCTTGCAAGGGCGGAGGGACAGCCGGTGATAATCCTGGTGGAGAACAAGAGCGACCACGCACACCCCCACGGCCTGCACGTGCCCCCGGCAGTGCAGCGTGCGGTGTGGCGGCGAGTGGTCACCAGCGCCACCCTGCGCACCGGGCTGGACGACCTTGAAGCCACCGTGGCGGCAGCCGTGGGCGGGGGGCTGGTGGCGGAGGAGGGGCAGCAGTGGGCGGTGAACCAGCGGCAGCAGCAGCAGCTGGTGCGCGCAGCTGAGGCCGTGGGGCGGGTGAGGGAGAGCATTGGGGCGGGGCTGGCGCTGGACTTCTGGAGCATTGACCTGAGGAGCTGCATCCTGGCCCTGGGGCAGGTGAGCGGTGAGGAGGATGTCACGGAGGAGGTGCTCTCCAACATCTTCAGCAAGTTCTGCATCGGCAAATAAGGAGGGGCACCTTCTCGTCGTGAATGTGACGGAGGAGGATGATGTGCGGTGAGGAGGATGTGACAGAGGAGGGTGCTCTCCAACATCTTCAGCAAGTTCTGCATCGGCAAGTAGGGGCGCATGATTTCTGATTGCTGTGTAATGCATTGTAACACTACTTCTGTAGTGATTTATGCTGTGGAAATTGACTATATTTTATAAGGCCTGTCGTTCTTTAGGTTTCATTGTCAAGTGTTACATCGAATGTTACAGGGGGCCGGTTGGGTAAGGGCTGTTCGAGGTGAGACGCGTTGAGCCCTGCCTGTGCCAGCTGCGCCAGAAGAATGCGGCCCCGCCTGTTGCGGTAGTGCGGAGAGAACTGCCCCCTCACGCGCCGTGCCACGGTCCGCCACACCATGTCCTCTGCTCCTCCGGGTCGTGGTGGGAAGGAGTAGATGAAGTGATGCGCCACCTGTGGGGGAGGGATGTGGGGTGGGGTGGGAGGTACGTTGGCGGATAGGGTAGCTGGGGTGCACTCATGCCATGCGTCCTGCTCCTCTTCTCTCGTGCCCCGCCACACCATATCCTCTGCCTTGCCGGGTCGTGGGAGGAAGTAGTAGATGAAGTGATGCGCCACCTGTGGGGGAGGGATGTGGGGTGGGGCAGGAAGGGGTGGGGTTGGGAGGGGTGAGGAGTGGGTAAGGAGACCTGTTCATGCCATGCGGCCTGCTCTGCTCCCCCATGCCCTGCCACACCATGTCCTCTGCTCCACTGGCCGTGGCGGGATGAGGAGTGGGCTGGTTAGGAGAGGCAGCACAAGGCACAGCAGGGTGGTGGGGTGCGCTCATGCCATGCGACCTGCTCCTCTTCCCTCTTCCCCTGCGCCACGCCGCCACACCGCACCGCTTACCCCCTGGAGGCAGGGAGAAGAGGAGGTGGTGAGGGTCCTGCCAGGGGGGTCTGCGTCTGTGGGGAAAAGAGGGAGGAATGGGGAAGGGGGAGGGCGTGTTGTGGTGCGGTCATGCGAGTAGCAGTCATTGCAAGCACAGCACCGACACCATTATATCAGCCTGTGTGCGTGCTGCTAGTGCCAATGGTGGCACGTGCACCGCACACACCCACAGAGAAGCTGTCAAAACACACGAGGACAACCTTCTGTTCCTGCACCTTTACGCGCCTAAAAAAGCTGTCATACTGCCCTCCACACACCGCACACACACATGGAGCAACCCTCACATCTCACCTCTCACGCTGCCCTGCACATGCGAACAAACCCATTGCACGCACAACGCCCCCCTCTCGCCCTCTCACCTTCCTCATGGCTTCCCACTGCTGGCGCCACACGGCCTCTGTCTGCGCGTGCAGCACGCCTAGAATGTACCCCGGGCGCACAGCGAGGGCGGCAGGGAGGAGCAGCGAGAAGGCGGTGTAATCAATGGCGTCCTCAAAGGGTGGGTCGAGGGCGTCGCTGATGATCACTGGGATGCACCCGGAGAGCACGGCGTCAAACAGGCGACAGCTGGACGAGGTGTCACCTGCCCAGGTTGGGAGAGGGTGTTCGGGGGGGAGGCAGCGGGGAGGAGAGGAGGTGGTGGGGGAGTGGTGGCTTTGTGAAGCTGGGTGAAAAGCAAGGGCGAATGAGGGCAAGCGAGGGGCAGTGGTTGTGTGTGCTTGCCTCACCTCGCGGCACCAGGCAGTATTTAGCGCGGCGCATGGCGGTGGCGGCCTGAGCCGTCATGCTGCTGTTCTCCGCCCGCCCCACCGTGAATTGCACCCCGGGCTGCCCCTGCAGCTCCCGCTGCACTTGCTGCCGAATGATGCCGCCCTGTGGGAGAGAGGGGAGAGAGAGGAGGGGGGAGAGCGAGGAGGCGGAGAGAGTGAGGAGACGGAGAGCGAGGAGGGGGAGAGCAAGAGGGGGCGATTAAGAATAGGGAGAAGGGTGCAAAAGGCGAATGAAGGGGTGGTGAGAAGTTGCCATGAAGGGAACGGGCAGAGCTGCATGCGTGCTGCGGTGGGTGGGGCATGAGAGAGTGAGAGAGAGAGAGAGAGAGAGAGAGAGAGAGAGAGAGAGAGAGAGAGAGAGAGAGAGAGAGAGAGAGAGAGAGAGAGAGAGAGTGAATGGTACTGACCCCCCAGCGGTCGGTGGTGCCTTGGAAGAAGAGCAGCAGGGGGCGCGAGGCCCAGGAGCCACGGTCGTGAGAGAAGGGCGCCACCAGCGGCACGTACGGCACTATCACATCGCGGTCGTACGATGCTGCCTGTGAGGGGTAGGGGTGATTCGGGGGCAGACGACGGGAAGGAAGGCAGCACAGGAGCGCCAGGAGGGCGTTGAATGGAAAGGGGGCAGCACACAGAGCAGACATGAAGGGCAGCGAGTCAGTGCACATGTGGGTTCAGTGCCCATGTGGGTTCAGTGCCCATGTGGGTTCAGTGCCCATGTGGGTTCAGTGCCCATGTGGGTTCAGTGCAGTTGACATGCACGTGCTGCAGCACATGCAACATCACACATCTCTCACCTGAACCCCGTGCAGGTCTCACCTGCAGAAGCACATACATCTCATCTCACCTGCAGAAGCACATACATCTCATCTCACCTGCAGAAGCACATACATCTCATCTCACCTGCAGAAGCACATACATCTCATCTCACCTGCAGAAGCACATACATCTCATCTCACCTGCAGAAGCACATACATCTCATCTCACCTGCAGAAGCACATACATCTCATCTCACCTGCAGAAGCACATACATCTCATCTCACCTGCAGAAGCACATACATCTCATCTCACCTGCAGAAGCACATACATCTCATCTCACCTGAGCCCAGTGCAGGTCGAGGTCAACAGCGAGCTTGATGGCAGCAGCGAGGGGCAGCGAGTGGTTGAACATGGCCAGCGGGTACACGCACGGCACCACCAGGGGGGGCATGCGCCCACCCCCACTCCCACTGCTGCTAGCTCTGCTGCCACTTCCGCTGCTGCCGCTGCCGGTGCTGCTGCTGCCGCCCCCACTGCCGTGGGTGGTGGTGGCGGCGCTGGTGGCAGGTGTGGCGGGTGTGGCAGCGTGGTGGAGGGCGAAGCGCGCGATGATGGGGTCCAGGATGTCACTGCCGTGGCGGGGGGGGGGATGCGAGGGGGAAGGGGAGTGGGGGAATAGAGCAAAAAGAGAGGGGAGAATGCAGGCCAGGCTTGCCTCTCATGAACACCCATGAGGGATACGTCAGCAAGAACAGAAGGGTGAGAAGTGGTGGTGGTGGTGGCAGTGGAGGAGGCAGTGGAGGTGGGAGTGGAGGAGGCAGGCACCTGGCGTTGGTGGCAGTGGAGGAGGCAGGCACCTGGCGTTGGTGCGGAAGGCGAGGGTGGACCAGTAGGGCACGAAGATGGCTTCTGCGTCCTCCACTCGCTGCACGCGCTGCACTGCCCCTGTGCCTGGCGGCCTCAGGCATGCACCACGGATGTGGGGAAGAGACATGGTGGAGAGCAGAGCAGCACGGAGGGGAGAAAGAGAGTGAGGGGCAAGGTGGTGCCGTGGCGGGTTGAGAAAGAGCAAGGTGAGAGGCAAGCAGAGAAAGTGAGGGTAAGTGTAAGTGCAGTGGAGGAAGGAGAGGGGGGTTACCGGAGAGGAGGGAGAGTGTGAGGAAGTACTCGGCCGCATGCTGGCGGTAGTAGGGGTAGTGCGGGTAGCACGGCACACTCACGCCCACCGGCCCTCCTGCCCCTGCCAGCACTGCTCGCTCCACCGCTGCCGCCTCCGAAGATGCTGCTACTGGCGGCGATGGTGAGAGCGGTACAGGCAGGTCCGGCAGGTCTGGTATGCCGAGGAACGGCAGCAGGTGCGGTGAGAGGGCGGTGCGGCCACTGCTGGCGGCGCTGGCAGGGGATGCAGCAGGGGGGAGGGGCGAGGTGGGGAAGGCAGAGGCGGAGGTGGAGGATGGGGAGGAGGCAGAGGGGGAGGGAGGGTGCAGCCAGGAGAGCGGCAGGGCGTGGGGCGAGTGGAGGCGCACGGTGCATGGCGGGGGAGGCGGCGCGGACGAGGGCAGGGCCGCTGGTGGCAGCAGCGACTGCGCCCCTTTCAGTGCGCGCATGCGGGGGAAGGGCGGCGGGGGATGGGGAATGAAATCGGGGAAGAGGGAAGAGGGAAGGAGATGGAGGGGTGGGTAAGAGCGGCGTGCGGCAAGGGAGGAAGGAATGGAGTCTAACCACCTGCGACAAGGGGGAGAGGGCCAGGGTATAGACGCTAGAGCCAGGGAAGAGGCTCACGATGAGCGAGAGAGGGCCACGCGGGGCGCGAGTCACCTGCGCGAGCGGGATGAGGTCGACGTTGTACGGCGCCGGCAGCAGCACCACATACACCCTCAGCGCCCGCTCCCCCTCGCTGCTCCCAGCGCCCCCTTCCGGCGACTGTGGGCGAATTAGAGCGCGCAGCAACGACGCCGTCAGCAGCAGGAGGAGCAGCGCGACGCACGACGCGGGGATGGAGCGCCGCAGCCACGCGCGCGACGCTGACGTGGAACTTCCGCCACGCGCTGCGCGAGAAGGCGCGTGGGATCGGGCAGGGTGGTTGGAAGAGGTGGGCGTGGATCGCGGAGCAAGGCGGAGGAGAGACGGCGCCATGGCTGCCGCTGGAGGGGCGATACGGACGGCATTAATCTGCGATCAGTCTGCCAGGCATGCGTGCGTTGGGAGGGAATTATGGTATTTCGGACAGCGATGCTGACGGACGTTGCAGCACATACGATGCGAATGCTCGAGGGCGGCAAGGACGAGGTGGAAAGACTCGCGAGTGGCTGCACTGGCGCGATGGAGCTGGACTCGACGGGGTGATTGTGGTGGCAGCCGCAATTGGTGCCGGTGGTGGTGGGGTGGGGTGCACTGCATTCTGGCTTGGGGTGGGGAGCGGAAGCGAGATGGGGCCCGGTTTAGAGGTTCAGAATAGCCTGATGACCATACAGAGGAACATATAGTCTTCTATAAGAGTTCCCTTTGGTCAAGGGCTAGAAACAAAAAAGGCAAAAGAGGAAGGGTGGGGGGTGGCGGGGGCAGGGAGGGATGTACATCGGAACATTTATCTATTTCTCATTTTCGAAACTTATGGCGACCTACGCTACGCACCCATTCACTAACAGTCATTATCGAATGCGGCAATGGTTTGTAAGTGAAACGGTTTTTAAAATGCGGAGAAATATATGGAAAAGTTAAGAGGCTAGAAGTGCAGGCAATATCCTCGTTAAGGAGATGAGGCCAGCACAACAAGGTGCGGTGCAAGCCATTCGCGATGGCTTGGATTCTTTGCCACCTGGGCGTGCTCTGTCGGTAAGGTTCGACAGGGCTACCACGTAGTGCAGACGTGGCACACCCGGGGTTGGATTGCTTTGGGGGTTGCTTTTCCAGCGAGGCTCCACACTTTTTATCCTCGGCACTGGGATCTTCGCGGAGTTCTGTGACTGGTTTGTGTTCATTTCACGCAGCACAACACCTGCTGCTCCTAACATTTGCTGCAGGTAATAATTTCCTGAGAATCAGGATTCTGATTTGCCAGTCACGAGCGTCCGAAGCATGGCTCCCGTTACAGGAATTGCCTGCTCGCACGCAGTGTCGCTACGTCTGGGTTCGTCCGCAGCCGCCTCCTCGTCGTCGTCTTTCTGCACAGGCGAGCCTCGTCAAACCGCTCGCATCGCGTCACGTAGAAACCGAGGGAATGGCGCCGCTAGGAAAGGTCGTCTGGTGGCCATGGCTGGTAGACAAGATGACTCAGGAAGCAATAAGGATGTGGCGGGAGCGGGGATGACGTGGGTGAGCCCTGATTGGCTGACGTCATTGTTCGAGAAGCTGCGCGGCCCGGACGACTCTGGCATTCCCGTGGCGGACGCGAAGCTGGACGACGTGAAGGACCTGCTGGGCGGCGCGCTCTTCCTGCCGCTCTTCAAGTGGATGCTCGAGTCCGGCCCCGTCTATCGGTCAGTGATATGCTCGAGTCCGGCCCCGTCTATCGGTCAGTGATATGCTCGAGTCCGGCCCCGTCTACCGGTCAGTGATATGCCTCGAGTCCGGCCCCGTCTACCGGTGAGTCATATGCTCGAGTCCGGCCCCGTCTACCAGTGAGTCATATGGTCGAGTCCGGCCCCGTCTACCGGTGAGTCGCATGAATGGGTCGTTTGCGATCGACTTTGATCGCTTTTGGGGTGCCTGAACGGCAATGGCGTGAATGTCGGTGCAACAGATGAAGTGCAATGGCCTTGTTGTCCGCTTGCAAGTCTGAGAGACCAATTGATGTCCAGGAGAATGCTCCGATAGGAGAATGAGGCAATGGGATTTAATATTGTCAGGAAAAAAAGCTGTCAGGCGAAACAACTGTTGTGAGAGAGCCCGCTGTTGTCAGGAGAACATGCATGGCTCCACAACTTGCCGAGGAGGCCCGTTGGCCTGCCAGCTATGCCCGAGTCATTCCCCTACAACCCCCTCGCGCAGGCTGGCGGCGGGGCCGCGCAACTTCGTGATAATCGGCGAGCCGGAGACGGCGAAGCACGTGCTGCGGGGGTACGGGTCGATATACGCCAAGGGGCTCGTGGCGGAGGTGGCGGAGTTCCTCTTCGGCTCGGGCTTCGCCATCGCCGAAGGCGACCTCTGGACCGTACGTGCTCTCTACGCGCTCTGCCATATTCCGCACCCCCGCTGCCGCATTTTGCACCCCACGCTCGCTGCCTCCTTCGCGCTCTCCTTCCGTTGCGCCGTGACTCGCGTCTGCACGATCCACGTAGAAACTCTTGCCCGTGCACCCACACCCGACACGTGGCATGTGGTGCGTGCAGGCGCGGCGGCGCGCAGTGGGGCCGTCGCTGCACCGGCGGTATCTGGAGAAGATGGTGGCGACGGTGTTCGCCAGCAGCACGCAGCACCTGGTCGACAAGCTGCGCGGCAGCGCGGCGCGCGGCGAGGAGGTGAACATGGAGGCGATGTTCTCTCAGCTGACGCTGGACGTGATCGGACTGGCCGTGTTCAACTTCCAGTTCGACTCGCTCTCCACCGACTCCCCGCTCATCCAGGCCGTCTACACCGCGCTCAAGGAAACCGAGTCGCGCTCCACCGACATCCTCCCCTACTGGCAGGTGCGCGCGCGCATTGCGGTACAGACAGGTGAGGCGGTTGGCGGTTGGTGCTGTGAACCCGAAGTAGGCCGCCACTTACCTAACACTGGAGATGGATTGCAAATAAGCTTAGCAGAAAAAGAGCAAAGCTCTCAATCTGTCAGGCCAGTCGAAGCTTTGTCAGACTGTGGCCGACAGGCTGGCACAGGCAGAGATGCGTGTGCAGTGCAGTTCGTACCGCCCATGCATTCCCCAAGCCCATCGCTGCTCACAGCGAGGCGCTGGAGCTCCCCCTTCCAGCAGTAACGACGCTCCCATGCCATCACACCTCCCCCATTCCCTTCCCCCACCTTCTCTCCTCCCCCTACCCCCCCACACTTCGTGCCTCCGCCACCTGCGCAGGTGCCACTGCTGTGCACGATAGTGCCGCGGCAGCGCAAGGCGGCGGAGGCGGTGAGGGTGATCCGCGAGACAGTGGAGGAGCTGGTGGCGCAGTGCAAGCGCATGGTGGAGGCGGAGAACGAGCGGCGAGGGGACGACGAGGAGTACGTCAACGAGAGCGACCCCTCCATCCTGCGCTTCCTCCTCGCCTCAAGGGAAGAGGTGAGCTCGCATGCAACGTCCCTCCCATGCCCACCGTGTGTCCACTCTGCTCCTTGTCGTCTCTGCTGCTCAGCTATGTGCACGGCCACACCCCGTGCGCTCCACGTGCTGGACACACGCATGAATCATCATCCGCGCCTCCCCTCCCCCCCTTCTCCCCCCTCACCCCCCCCCTCTCTCCAACCCCCCTCTGCGTGCACGGGCATGGAGCAGGTGTCGAGCGTGCAGCTACGGGACGACCTGCTGTCCATGCTGGTGGCGGGCCATGAGACCACGGGCTCCGTGCTCACCTGGACCGTCTACCTCCTCGCCCAGGCACGCCCGCCCTCCCACACTCCCCACGCCCCCTCGTCTCCTTAGCTATAAGCACATTCACCATTTTTCCATGCACTCACCCCCGCCTTAACTCACTCGCCTCCGTTTCACATGGATTCGCACCTTTCAAACGCTTACCCCATTTTCCACACTCCGTCCAACCCTTTTGCACACTCATCCCCTTTTCTCACACTCACCCTCCTCTCGCATAAACGTACACATACACACCTCTTTCACAGAACATCCCGCATTTTCACACCCACCCTTTTCACGCGATCTATCTTTCTGCTTCACCCCGTGGCCACCCCTCCTCGCCTCGCCTCCCCTTCCCCTTCCATCCGCTCTCTCTTCCCCCCTCTCTCCGCTGCCCATCCGCTGTCCCCCTCCCCGGCACTTCTCATGGCAGCACCCAGAGAAGATGGCCAAGGCACAGGAGGAGGCGGAGAGGGTTCTCGCTGGGAAGAGCCATCCGAGCCTGGCGGACACGAGGGAGCTCAAGTACCTCACGCGCTGCATCAACGAGTCCATGCGCCTCTACCCCCACCCCCCGGTCAGTGCTATCTATGTGATTGGGGCTTCTCGGTCTGTGCATTGCGAGGAGGCACAACGCAAGCACCTCTACGCTGCACTGCACCACCCAACGGCTCCTTGCACCACTCTGCACTCCTTCACACCCGCCCTCCTGGTCACTGCATACAATGTGATTGGTTGGACGAGTGGACAAGGAATGATGTGCCATGGTTTGTGCACATGGTGCTGCTGCACGGTGCATGCACGGCTGTATGTGTCCTTGTTGGCAGTGCTTAACAGGCGCACGCACCAAGCGCTGCTGCTCGCTGCTGCTGGCATTTGTGTGCCTGTCAGGAGGTGGGTCCTCATGTGTGACTCACTCTCTGCCTGCCCTCTGCTCTGCCCTGCCTGCCCTCTGCCCTGCCCGCCCTCTGCCCTGCCCACCCTCTGCCCTGCCCGCCCTCTGCCCTGCCCGCCCTCTGCCCTGCCTTCCTTCCCCTGCGTGGGCTGTGCATGCAGATTCTGATCCGGAGGGCGGTGGTGGCTGATGTGCTACCGGGGGGGTACAAGGTGCAGCCGGGGCAGGACATGATGATCTCCGTCTACAACATCCACCACTCGCCGCAGGTGCCTACGTGCACACATGCCTCTCTCTCACTCCCTCTTCATCCAACCCCTTTCATCTCTGCACCCTGGCCTCATTCCCTTCACCTGCAATCGCATTCCCTGATCCCATTTGAGGTCCTTTACTAACGTCCCAACTTTATTTTCATGGTATCGACCCACGTGGCATTGCCTGCGCGGTATGGCATGGCACGGCATGGTGCATGGCACGGCATGGTGCATGGCATGGCAGGTGTGGGAGCGCGCGGATGAGTTCATGCCGGAGCGGTTTGACCTCGATGCGCCCGTGCCCAACGAGGTCAACACCGACTACAGGTGCGCGCACTGCACCGCTGTGTCACCCAATCTCACTCAATGCAACTGCTTAGCCCGCACCTGCTCGTTCTTTGCCAGCTTCTGAGTGATCCCATTAGGTCCCTGGTGCCATGCCCTGTTACATCAATGCTATACTCCCTGTGAATCCCCCCCCCCATTACCAGGTACATTCCGTTCAGCGGCGGCCCGCGCAAGTGCATAGGGGACCAGTTTGCGATGCTGGAGGCCATCTGTGCGCTGTCGGTGCTCGTCCGCGAGTTTGACTTCGCGCTCGTGCCCAACCAGGACATCAGCATGACCACCGGCGCCACCATCCACACCAAGAACGTACGCATACATTCTCTTACTGCACCTTACTGCACCTGTCTGCACCTTCTGCAGCTCCTCACCATTCTTCATGTTTTCTGCTTTTACAGGGACTGTACATGACTGTCAAGGAGCGTGCGAGGTCACCAGTTCCAGCATGATAAACAACACTAGGATGTGAGAGATGGTTTGAAAGGTTTAGAATGTGAAATAAGGTTAAACCCACTTGGCTCCACAGAAAGGAGAAACATGGTTGAGGGTAGTCAATCATGTCTTAGTAGTCTATAAAACAAAGTTTCTTGAATGATAACGCACTCATGCTCATTCAAAGTAAGCGTTGTGTAAAAAATGAATCATTGTGAAGCAGGGGAAGTCTAACTGGAATTTCACTGTAGGACATGGGAATGCGGTAAGCACTGTGGTGTACGCCTGCACGCGTCGTACGGTACGATACACCCAAAAGAGGTCTGAGGTGAGCCATTCTTGAACGATAATAGTACCATGCGGCGTGTGCGCAAGGCATTATTACAGCCTCGCTTTTGTCCGTTTTGTTCGTTAGGCATCATAGCAAGAAAATCGACACACAGGGAACGCGCACAGCCATAGCTGCGCTCCGCACCGTAGTGGTTTGTAGTGACTTTTAGATTTTGCTTTGCCGACAGAATCTGTTCGTAACGCGAGCCCCCCTCGTCATGGCGGGTGAACGAGAGGGCGTGCCGTCGGATTTGGAGCAGCGGCTGCAGCGCGCGTGGATGCACGTGCAGCTCAAGACGTGCCGCATCGTGCAAGGTCCGTGCCGTCCGCCCGTCGCCTTGGCTCTTAAGCCGTCTTTAAAGTTCGTGCGTATTCGTACCGTGTCTCGGTAACGAGATCCTTCTGTATCCCCGTCTTCATTACCGTCAGTAGTGCAACATTTCTCTCACATGAATCCATGCTCCCCGCGCTCCCCGTTCCTCCCCCGCGCCCCGTTCTATCTTCCCCCGTGCTCCCCGCCCGTTCAGATCATCCGTGCGGCGGCCACCAAGGAGCGCACACGCACTCGCACGGCGGCAACACGCGCGGCGGCGGTCAGCAGCAGCCGTCGCTACCGCCGCCGCAACGCACGGCGCGGGATCTGACGGCGACGCTGCAGCAGCTGTGGGGCAACACGCAGGAGCCGCTCGTTCCGCCCTCCGACCCCCGCCAACCCGCCCCGCAGCCGCGCCCTCCGCCGCAGCCGATTTCTTATCCCTGCTCCCTTCCGCCCGCCACCTCTGGCGCCTCGTCGCAGGGCAATCGCACAACGTCGCCTGGGCCGTCCGCTAGCTCGTCCTCGTCGCACTCCAATGGCCTTACGCCACTTCAGCAACCGCAGGCGGCGGCCGTGCCGTTAAACTCCGCGGGCCAGCCCTGCCAGCAGCTCTCCCCCTCCCCCTCCACCTCCGGCGGCCAGCCCAGCCCCGGCGGCTCCCCCGCACCGTGCCCCTTCGTGCCGGGGCAGGCGGGCGGCGGCGGCGTGTGGCCGCGGCACGGGCCGAACTCGGTGGCGGAGCAGTTGCGCGAGCTGAGCGCGGCGGAGTGGATGGCGCGCGTGCAGCAGGTGGAGCCGGTGGCGCTGGGCGCGGAGTACATGGAGGCGGACTTCTTCCGCGGACTGGACGAGCTCACCTTCGCCTTCGACGAGATGGAGTCGCTGCTCCCCCACGACCTCAACCCCGCCTTCCTCTCCGCTCCCCCGGGCGCCTTTCACGGCGCATCAGGGGACGCAGGCATGGGCATGGGCGCGGGCATGGGCGAGGAGGAGCTGCTGGGGATGGCGGTGGACCGAATGGTGCCCGCCCCCCAAGGCATGGCGCCCGCGCATCCCCCCACCAGTTGCGCCAGGGATGGCTGGCAGTGCGCGGGGCAGCAGGGCGGGGGAGTTGAGGGGACGGGGAGTGCGAGGTCGGGGGAGAGCCAGGGGCGCGCGGATAGCCAAGGGCGCGCGGAGGAACTGATGGCGCAGATGCAGCGGGCTGCGCTCAACAGCCCGGGCGGCTCCCAGGAGGGGTGGCAGCAGGGGGGGCAGCAGCAAGGGCAACAGCAGGGGCAGCAGCAGGGACAGGCGATGCAGCAGTCGCAGCATGGGGTGCAGGCGGCGGCAGGAGGAGGAGGAGCAGGCAGCAGCAGTGGCGGCACGGGCACGGGGCGGTCGGCGGTGATTCAGATGCTGCTGGACATCGCCAAGGCCATTGTGTCCGGCGACCACCACCGCGTGAGTGGTAGGCGAACGGTAGAGGGTGAGAAGGGGGGAGCAGGAGAAGGTGAGGGGGGAGAAGGTACAGGTGCGGTGAGGCACGGCTAGAGCCGAGCTCGGTTTGTGGCCGTGACAAGAGCAGGTGCGTCTCATCTCTCGCATGCCATCTCCTATCCCCCCCATGCCATCACGCGCCCATGCCACCGCCCTGCGCCGTGTACGTGCTGGTGAAACGCCTTGCGGCCATCTCCCCCATCCCGTCACGCACCCATCCTTCCCATCTGCCCCCCTTCCCCCCCGCCCCCCCCAGGTGCACGTGTTGGTGGAGCGCCTGACAGCGGTGGCGTCGGTGTACGGGGACGCCACACAGCGTGTGTCCGCCTACTTCCTCGAGGGGCTGCTCGCCCGCGCCTCCGGCACGGCGCCCACGGGCGCCGGCTGCCCCGGCAGTGACGGCGCGGGGGCAGCAGGCGCGCTGGGCATCTACCGCTCCATTGACTGCGATGCCCCGCTGCTGCGCGCCTTTGAGGTCAGCCAGCCGCTTCAGGAGGGGTGGGCCTTCCAGGTGAAGGGGGGGTTGTAAGGGCGGTTGGGATGGGGGCGGTGAGCCTGTGAGTGAGGGCGGTTGAGGTGGCGATACTATTGGAACGTCTGAGGCGGGGCGGTGGCTGTAAGGAGGAAAGGTGTTGTGGTAGTCTTGCCAGAAGGAAGGAGTATTGCATAGCCAGGGGGGTTCTTGATAGACACTTCAATTCGTGCAAAATTGCCTCAGCCTTCACTCCGCACACCCCCATGTCCCCCTGCCCTTACGGCACCCACACCCACAGGTGCTGGTGAGTGCGTCACCGTACCTGACGTTTGGGCACGTGGCATGCAACAGCGCCATACTGGAGGCGATACAGGGAGCGCGCAAGGTGCACATAGTGGACTTCGGGCTGGGTCACGCCGTGCAGTGGCCGCCACTCATCCAGGCACTGGCAGTGCTGCCGGGGGGCCCACCGCACCTGCGCATAACGGGCATCGACCGCCCCTTTGTGGCCGGCATCCACAAGGGCTACTGTCTCCGCCAGGCCGGCCAGCGCCTAAGGGTGAGTCTTAGCGGTCTCAGTGTCTCACCACCCATCGCCCTCCTCTCGCCCCTTTGTGGCGGGCATCCACAAGGGCTACTGCCTCCGCCAGGCCGGCCAGCGCCTCCGCGTGCGTCTCCCCTTCTCTCGCTCTCTCTCCCCACCAACCAACCGCCCGCTTTCTCCTTCCTTCACTTCCCTCTCCTCCCGTTCGTCTTTTCTTTTCTTTTTTTCCCTTTTCACCTCCTCTATCGTTCCTAACATACCCACAAGAGGCAACTCACATCACAGCCTCGGCATCACTCACACATGACGCGACCTTCCTCTCCTGCCCTCCTCCCATCCCCTCCATCCCGTGTTGAGCGCTGCAGAAAGTGGCGCAGAGCTGGGGGGTGCCATTCACGTTTAACTTCATCCCCATAAACCTGCCGGACCTGCAGCCATCCATGGTGCGCTGCGAGGCGGACGAGGTGCTCGTGGTGAACTGTGCGCTGCGCCTGCACAACCTCATGGACGAGTCCGTCACGCCCTCCAACCCGCGCGCCGCCGTGCTGCGCACCATGCGCGCGCTGGCGCCCGCGGTGACGACGCTGGTGGAGCAGAACACAAACCACAACTCGCCCTTCTTCCTCAGCCGCTTCCTCGAGGCGCTGCACTACTACGCATCCATCTTCGACGCCCTCGACGCGTCCGTGCCCGCGGACTCGACGGAGCGGCGGCTGTTTGAGCAGCGCGTGCTGGGGCGCGCCATCGTGAACGTGGTGGCGTGCGAGGGGCAGGACCGCACAGAGCGCCAGGAGCCGCTGGGGCAGTGGGAGCGCCGCGTGCACCGCGCCGGGTTCGTGGGGTACCCGCTCAGCCGTGAGGTGGTGGCCACCGCCACCGCCCTGCTCTCCACGTGCGTGTGCTGGGCTTGGCTGATCCATGCGTGTCCGCTTGTGATGCCACTGTTCTGTCCTGTAGTGCTCTCTCTTCTTCCTCTGCTCAGCTGCTGCCTTCCGCTCCCCCATGGCAGGTACAAGGGCCCGTACTCGCTGTCGTCAGAACAACCCAACAGCCTCACTCTCAACTGGAAGGACCAACCACTGCTTGCCATGTCAGCGTGGCGGCCCAATAGCTAATTACAGCACAATGTGCACGTATGAAGGTGAAGTGCCATGTGGTGAGGTGATGAGCGGTACGATGCCGAGGTGGTCCCATGGGGATTGCAGGAGCGGCATGCTTTGTTGCCGAGTGATCCAATAAATGCATTTACGGCACACGTAAGGGTGCGTGCGTGTGGTGTTGCGCTGCCGCAGCTGCACAAGACATGCTTGTTTTTGGTTTGCATGGTGATGTGCGATGCTGGGCTGGACCCATCGACCGTTATGAATCAGGATTCTGGAGGACCACTCCTCACTCCTTCGCGGTCCACTCCTTTCAAGGCACTCCGTTCTGGATGTGCCAAGGCACCTGTTGCCATAGCATGTATGTACTACATTTACTGCATATCCTATCTGCTAATTGTCTTACCTGTAAGCTGGACCAGGGCACCACTTTAGAGGCAGCGTAACACTAGTACCCTCGCCATGCCAATCGAGATCAAAGGTTCTCGCACGGCCCTGCCAAGAATTCGTATTCTATTTTGTATTTTATCCCCTCTCCCAAAACATAGGGCAGCTGCACACTCTCTGCGATTCGACCCCAAACGATGAACCTAGGTAACCCTGTGCCTTCGCTGGGAGATAATGGTTGCGCGCGAACCCCGGGGGACACGAGAGCAGATCCGCGATATGTGTGTCCTGCGCTTTTGCACCACTCCCATTCTATCCCCAACCCCACCCCACCCGCTTGAGGTCGTCTTTTTCCTGCCGATCCCTTTTGACGCGCTCCTTCCGTTCCCCACCCCACCACCGTCCCTTCATGCCACTCATCTTGAGATCCCGCCCGCATCATCAGTACCCCCCCTCCAGCGATGTTGATTCCGCGCCCGCCATCCAACTCTACTGCTCTCCCCCTGTCACTCGCCCCCCCCTTCAGGCACCTCCTTGATTTCGACCTGAGTGTGACGCGCGACAACCAATGAGAAGATGTGAAGGCCACCCACTTCCCCATTCTCTTCAGCAAATACGAGAATAGACAGGAATTTACAGTAGTAGGCAAACATTATATGGCTGGGATATTGGGACATTGGTTGCGGAAGAGCCATTGATTCTTTTGAAGCATTGCGTGACAATGACAGGTGTCCGCGTGAGTCGTTGGCGCCATGAAGGGAGGCAATGGAGATTGTCGAGCATCATGGCGATCCGAATGTGAAACATTCTTCATGATCTGTCGTGACTTTGCGTCGTGATAGAGTTTCGCGTTGCTCAGCTTGGTCACTTCGCCTGTCACACAAGAATGGCATTGATGAGCCATCGCTCCGTGTCGCTGCCGCAGCTGCACCCGTGGATTCGCGGCGTCGACCACGAGGAGCGCGCCAGCGAGGCCGCCCTTGCGGCACAGTGCGGGGAGCCGAGCGACGTCCCCGTGCGCATGCATTCCAACAGGCCGGACGATCAGCCAGGGCAGCAGCAGCAGCAGCAACAGGTGCAGCAGCAGGAGCAACAGGTGCAGGAGGAAGAGGTGCAGCAAGAGCGGCAGCAGCGGGAGGAGCAGCAGCAGCAGCAGCAGCAGCAGGCGGCCAGCGCTGTGCTGGGCCCTCGGTCCGTGGCCGTCTCCCTCACCGTCGACCACGCCTTCGGCTTCGCATCCCCAGCAGCCCTTCCGCCCGCAGTGCTCTCCGCCCTCGCAGCGCTCGCGGATTCAGCTCGCCACCAGGCTGGCGGGTTTTCCCCGCTCACAGCGGAGGGGACGGCGGACGGCGCCTTGCCTCCCGTGCTTGAAGGCATCCTACGGAGCGCACCTCCCGCCGGCCCAGGCGACGCGGGATCGGTTGATGGACCAGCTGTTGCAGAGAGGTATGGGCAGTGGAGCGGTGAGAGCGGGTCCTACTCCATGCTGCTGCCGGCTGATGCCCCTGCCGTCACAGCAACCACTCTCGGCGCATTTGATCGGGCAGGCCCGTCGGAGACCCAGCAAGCAGCAGCAACAGCTGCATCAACAGGAGCAGGCGCAGCAGTAGCAGCGACAACAGAAGCGGCAGTAGCGGTGGAGGCTCAGGCAGCGAGTGTGGAAGCAGTACAAGGAGCGGCTGCAGGTAAGGCCAGCAGTTGCGATCTTGCCAGTGCTGCGCCTGCTGCCGTGCCACCCGTTATAGCAGCCGAGGCGGAGGCAGCGGCGGGCGAGGGCGAGGAGGGGGCGGAAGCAGCGCTGCTGGCAGTGGAGGTGCGGTGGAAGGGCGCGCGCGCGGGGCTGATGGGGTCCATGTTCGGGCGCGCCGTGAAGCGCGGGTGCAGCAGCGCACAGCCGCCGCGCGGGCCGCACGGCATGGTGCGGTGGGAGGAGGGCTTCGCGCACGACTGCCACCTGCTGCCCTGCCCCGCCGCCCTGCGCGCCGCCCGCGGGCAGGGCGAGGCGTGCGGCAAGGGCTGCCTCTTCCAGCCGTGGGAGGTGGTGCTGCTCGTGCACAAGGTGGGATTTGTGAAGGGCGCATCTCCCATGTGTCAATCCCATCTCCACTGAACATTCTTCCATGTCTTTCATAACACAAGTATGCAATTTCGTGTCTTTTTCCTATATATTGTAGCCCTAGCTCTTGCCTTACCTGCCCCACTCCCTCCATTTCCCCCCTTTGTTGCACTACAGCATGCACCCAGCAGGCCCAGGGAGCGGCCCCAGCAGGTGGCGTCGGTGGTGCTGGACGTGGCGCCGCTCGCCGCGCCGCTCTCCACGCAGCCCCTCACGCACCACCTGCTGCTCCTCTTCGCGCCCCCCGACTCGCCCCCCGTCGGCCTGCTGCAGGTCGCCACTCACGCCACTGCCCCTGGCCCCCCCGCGCTGCCCGGCACCCTCTCACCACCCCTTCCATTCAGCCATATGCTCGCTTTTCCGTTTCAGCATGCGTCTGTGTGCCAACAATACCCTGAGGCGTTTCTGCTTGTGTGTGTGTGGGCTGCTGTGCGCGGGCAGGTGACAGTGGAGTGCACTCAGCTGCCGCTAGCAGCATCCGCCCCCCCATCCCCAGCCGCACTCCAGTTGGCAGCACCAGTCCCGGCCCAAGCCTCAGCACCGGCAACAGTGCCACCCACTCCAGCCGCGGGCGGGCCAGCAGCAGCAGGGACGGGAGTGAGGGAGGCTGGGGGTGGCGGGGTGCACCTGGGGGGGCTGTGGGGGTGGCAGCGGCGCAGCCGGGAGAGCAAGAGCCCCGCGCTGCCCCTGAACGCGGCGGGCAGGGCAGGCGAGGGCGGAGGGCATGGGGCTGCTGGCAGCGGCAGCGCGGAGCAGAGCAATGGAGGTGCGCAGCAGGAGGAGGCCGATTGGCAGGGAACGGACGGCGATACAGGGTGGGAGCAGGTGGAGCGGAGGGCGAGTGATGGCGAGGGCGAGGAGGGGGAGAGTGGGCTTGGCGGGCAGGGAATGGAGGGGCGGCAGGCGAGGGAGACAGTCGGTGCCGTGGAGCAGCAGGGAGAAGATCGCGCTGCTGTGGCAGAGGTGGAAGGCGAATCGGCAGACAACAGAGGGGCGTCCGGCAATGGGGGTGTGGATGTAGCTGTGGGCACAGGCGCTGGCGCGAGCACGGGTGCGGGCACAGGCACGGGCTCGGGCATGGGCATGGGGCTGCTGGATGTGCTGCGGGGAGGGGTGTGGCGGCGGTCAGTGTCGGTGGATGGGGCAGGACGTGCGCGGGGCAGGCCAGGCGGGAAACAGGTGGCGGGGCTAGGAGGGAGGGGTTATGATGGGACGGGGGAGGAGGGCGAAGAGGGTGAGAACAAGGAGCGAAGGAGCAACATGTTGTGGGAGGAGAATGGGGTCTTGACGAGTGAGCTGGCAGTGTGGGAGAAGGCAGAGGAGGATGCGGAAAGGGAGGAGGGAGGACAGGCAGAGAGCGAGAGTGAGGAGGGCGAGGAGGAGATGGTAGCAGCGGAGGCGCTGTGCTATGGGCCGCTGGCAGAGGTGAACCTGGGAGGGCACGTGGGAGGACCCGTGCACACACGCATGCGCATGCTGCACCTGCTGCCCCACGCTCTGCCCTCGCCCCCTCGCACCCTCTCCCTGCCCGCCCAGCCCTCCAGCGCGCATAGTGAGAGAGGGCAGACTGCAATGCAAGAAGTGCACATGACACCACTGGAGGCAGGCAGGGAGGGAGGTGGTGAGGAGGGAGCCGTGGGTGCAGAGGTTGTGGGAGGTGCAGCGGAGGAGGAGCAGCGAGCGACTGCTCCTCTGCGGTCGCCCTTAGCGCCACGCCTCTTCACCTTCACCTCGCCCTTCCTCTTCTTCTCTTCCACCCCCCGCCCGCCCCCTGCTCCTGCGCCCACACCCGACCTGCCCTCGCCACCAGCGCCACAGCCTGCATCGTCAGCACCAGAAGCCACGTCTGAACTCGCACCTGCTGCCTGTGGCGGCTCCACCCAGGGCGAGCAAGGCCCTCCCCCTGCCCAAGGCAGCAGGGACTCGTCCCCCATCTCACCGCTCGACCCCCTCCCTGCCGACGCCCCTCCCCCCTCCAAGTCCTTTCTCCTGCCGCCCTTCCTCCCAGCCAAGCCCCTTGCTGCCACCTCGGGCGGAGGTGGGGCAGGGGGCGGAGGGGGAGGAGGTGCGGGGGTGGGTGCATTTTTGCGGCGGCCGCTGCTGTTCCTGCGCACGCTGTCGCTGCAGGAGAGGGGCGAGCCGCTGCTGCACAAGGCGTACGGGGAGGAGGGGGGGGACGAGATCGACTGGGACAGGCGCAAGGCACTCGAGGCCGAGCAGGAGCATCCCCTTTACAAGCAGCCTCTGGAGGAGCAGCAGGCAGCGAGTGCGGGGGAGGCAGAGGCAGATCCAGTGTCACCGTCGGCTTCAAGCGTGCGGGAGCTGTTCGGAGACGAGTTCCGCGTGGGGCAGTGGGAGCGCCGTGAGGTGGTGAGTCGCGACGGCACGGCGCGGTTATGCGCGCCGGTGTTCCTGGCGACTGTGGACCAGTGCCACGCCAGTGCTGCGGGCGAGGGCGCGTGTGCGCTGCTGGTGGCGCACATAGCGGCGTGGGTGCATGAGCATGCGCACGGGGAGGGCACGCTGCCAGGGCAGGCGGAGCTGGACGACCTCATCCGTGCCGGGTCCGCTGACTGGCGCCGCCTGCGCGCCCTCAGCGACTTCCACCAGCGCTTCCCCGATGGGCACTTTGACCTCGACACCGTGCTGGCTGCCGTGCAGCACTCCCACTCCGACACGGCCCCCCATGCACACTCAGACTGTGATGGGCAGGCCGTGTGCGCAGAGGCCCATGGCCAGGTACCTGATACGGATGGTGGAGGAAACAGAGACCCTGATGGCGCCCATGCTGGCAGCAGCGGCAGCAGCGATGGTGGTGGGGTGGCAGCCATGCCCCGGCTGCCACTGTGTGTGGTGCCCAGCCAATCATTCGTGGGGTTCTTCCACCCGCCCTGCCTTGCTGCCAGGCGCGCCAAGGAGGACGCCGCCCGCACGCAGGGCAGCAGCGCAGCGGAGGGTGATGCGGCGGATGTGAACAGGGGCGAGGCGGGAGCGAGCACTGTGGACGAGAGCGGAAGAGATACAGAGGAGGGGGGTGAGGGGAAGGAGGAGGAAGTAGTGGGGAAGCGCACAAGCAGTTCGCCAGACGTAGAAGCAAAAGGCAATGGGGCTGAAGCGTCGTTGGAAACAGGAAAGCAAGAACAGACTTCTACTGTGGAGAGCCCAGAAAGCGTCGGGGAGAAGGGCGTGGAGGAGAAGGCCTTGGAGCAGCTGGCGTTTTTGGAGGGCATGCTGTCGTTTGATGACATCTGGGAGGCGGTGGTGCAGGCGGGTGAGGGCGTGTACATCGTGGCGTGGAACGACCACTTTTTCCTGCTGCTCCTGCGCCGCCCCCAACTCCACCAGCACCAGTACCGCCACCAGCAGCAACACGGGTGTGGGGGCGCGCAAGCAGCACTGGATAGGCCTGTGGGGGAGCACACAGGTGAAGGTGCAGGCCATGGTGGCACACGGGCGGAGGCGAGGGGTGGGGAGGTGGAGTGTGTGGTGATCGACACACTGGGCGAGCGGCTGCACGAGGGGTGCTCGCAGGCCTTCATGCTGCTCTTTGACTCCTCCTCCTGGGTGGATGTCGGCCTGCCTCCCCCAGCAGCGCCCGGAAGCACTGCTGCTGGTGGGGCAGGCGCAGGAGGAGGAGGAGGGGTTAGTGAAGGCGACGGTGGTGGGGAACAGGCGAAAGCGCAGGGCACAGTTGACAGCTGTGAGCAGGGTGGCAGGGCAGGCGAAGCAGAGAGGGCAGAGGGTAAGGCAGGCGGCATTGGTGCTCAGGTGCCCAGGGCAGAGACAAGCAGGCGATGGGGTGTGAAGGCAGGCAAGGGCAGTGGCAAGGGCAAAGATGGCAGTGGGAAGGGCAAAGGCAGCAGTGGGGTGGACGTTGGAGCAAGGGGGATGGGTCCCCATCCCCATGGGGTGAAGCACACGGTGAGCTGTGAAGCAGATGTTGCTAAGGGGGTAAACGTGAACGAGGGAGCAGCACAAGTACCGCATGTGGCAGAGGTTGAGGAGGTGGTGCCTCAAGCAAATCAACCAAATGAAGGCATCACCTTGGTCCCTGCCGACACTCATGGCGTGCCCGCTGTCATCACTACCACTCTAAATCATGTAGATAGTCCTTTGGCAGATAACTGCAGCCCACCATGCGGTGACGAGTCAGCATCCACTGCAGCTGACTCAGTGCTTCCTACAGCAGTGCATGCAGCCGAGACAGCATGTCTGCTGATACACACTGACGGTCCATCACAGTCACCCATATACGAGACGGAAACCAGCACCACCAATTTTGACGGGTGTGCAAGCAGTGAGCAGCCCACCCAAACCGCGTCGAGCGCTGCTGGTTCGTCTCCTGCCTTCACAGCCACCACTGCCTCCCCTCCCACCTCGGCGGCACCTGCTTGTGGCGGGGAGGGCGAGGGGGACGCAGCTCCAGTGGCAGCGGGGCGGAGGGTTTGGGGAGCGGAGGCGTGCCGCGAGTACCTCAAGGCGTTCCTGGCAGCGGTGCCGCTGGCGGAGGTGGAGAGTGACCTGCGCAAGGGGCTGCTGGCGTCACCCGAAGCCATCCACCGCCGCCTGCAGGTGGAGCTCCACTTCACCCGCCTCCTCTGAATATACGTCACACGGGCCATGATAAGGCCTTACATGAAGACATCTGCCCCATTGGCAGAAGGGTTTATTGTTTCTACCGTGTCATCGATTCTTCATCTCCGTTTAGTGTGCCAGAGAGTCCACGGTCCACCAGATGGTACTGCTTGTCTATTCCCCTAAATTGCTCATAATTAGTGTAACAAAAAAGACATCTGGTCTCCACCACACCATAATATGTCAGGGTAAAACACCCTGATTACCCTGGGGGCTGGCTGCTTTTTCAGGATTTCACAGACGACCCCATGTAACTTCGACTCGATTGAAAAGGCAAGCACGAGATCTACAGTTTGGTGTTCAAAAATATAGAAATACATATATGTCATTTTATAAACGCCGGCGCTTATAAATTTACTCGATTATAAGCCCACCCCCCTAAAAAAACCTGCTTTATTATTGCCCCCCATGGGGGTATATCCGGGGTATGACGGTACCCTGCTGAAATCAGGATTGCAAAATAGTTACCCTTCTCTTAAAAGAGCATGTTTTATTTTACCCTGCTAGGTTTTTAGCTTACCCTGGCGGAATCAGGGTTTGGTGTACACTACCCTGTTACCGAAATACCACGGATATAAGCGCACCTGCGCTTATAATAAAACGGTGTTTTTTGGGGGGGTGCGCTTATAATTGAGTCAGATTTATAAGCGCATGCGCTTATATAATAACAAATACAAATTTATAATTCATTGGCACCAAACTGTACATCTCCTTCTTGCGATTTCAATCGAATCAAAGTGGTAGCGAGTTACAATTCAGATTCGAGCGTGAGCGATTTTCTGCCGGCGCACAGGGGCAAATTTACACGTCACTATTAGAAATGCCAGCTCATACTGACTGGACGCGCAGTATGTGAGGTCCTCGAAAGTCAATCGAAGCGAAAATGGTTGTATCCTCACTGCAAAATTTGAAATCGCTACCGTTTTAATCTGATTTAAATTTTAGAATTATACATGCGCTTATAATAAATCAAGGTTTTACAGGGGGTGCGCTTATAAATGAGGATCGGCCATAAGCGGATTGCTCCAGATACAAGCGCATGCGCTTATAATAGGCCTGCGCTTATATCCGGGGCCATACGTGCCAGAATGTTATCTTATGCTCTAGCCTGTAGTGGGGTGCTCTATAGCGAGTACTGTCAAACACTATTTATATTGTTATAGTTGTTTAGGCTACAGTGGGTTAGCCCATAGGGGGTACACATTTCTAGGTTTCCATATTTGTACTCATTTCATTCTTAGTAATTTCATTCCTTGTTCAACATGGTATAGAGCAGGTCCTTCCTAGGACCGTTTTTCCTAAGGGCCCACCACTACCTACCGTATGGCCCCGGATAGAAGCGCAGGCCTATGTTAAGCGCATGCGCTTGTATCTGGAGCAATGCGCTTATGGCCGATCCTCAATTATAAGCACACCCCTTATAAAACCCTGATTTATTATAAGCGCATGTATAAACATATTTCAAAAAAACGGATTAAAACAGTAACGACTTCCCGTTTTAAAGCGAGTCCACATCCACTTCTACTCTGTTTGACTCCCTCGAGGGCAGGCTCGCTCAGTAAAAGCGCAACAGCGCGAAGTTGACCTGACAGGAGGGCTCGGGAACACCTGTTGTCTGTGCGCTGCGAGCGAGCGACTGCAGGCTATTGGTCGTACACTGGGGCAAGCCTGTGCGATGCGAACGAGCGACTGCAAGCTATTGGTTCGTACACTCTCATGGTGCGAGCATGACACATTCCTATGCGAAAGTGACGTGTCCTTGCCCTTGTGCGCCAGCAGAGAATCGCCCTCGCGAGATTCTGATTCAGAACGCTCCACACATTTCGATTTGAATGAAATTGCAAGACTCTAATGCACAGTTTGGTGCGTTTATAACATATTTCTGTGTTTGTTATTATATAAGCGCATGCGCTTATAATTTTGACTCATTTATAAGCGCACCCCCCTAAAAAACACTGTTTTATTATAAGCGCAGATGCGCTTCTATCCGGGGTATTACGGTACCTGCCTATCTACCTACCTACCCTAGGGCGCCTCGGCGTTCACGCCTCTAGAGGCCCTGTAGGCCCCGCACTGTTGCACCTAGAGGCCCCGAATCGGCCCCGCGCCTAACCCTAACGGCCCGCGCCGACCCCGAGCCCGTCCCCTAGAGGCCCGCGTCGGCCCCGCGCCTACCCTAGAGGCCCGCGTCGGCCCGGAGCCTACCCCTAGAGGCCCGCGACGGCCCCGTCCTTTCCCCTAGAGGCCCGCGACGGCCCCGTCTCTACCCCTAGAGGCCCGCGACGGCCCCGCGCCTACCCTAGAGGCCCGCGACGGCCCCGATCCTACCCCTAGAGGCCCGCGTCGCCCCCCCGTCCCTACCCCTAGAGGCCCGCGTCGGCCCCGTCCCTACCCCTAACAGCCCGCGTCGGCCCCGTCCCTACCCCTATCAGCCCGCGTCGGCCCCGTCCCTACCCCTTTCGGCCCGCGTCGGCCCCGTCCCTAACCCCACCCGCTCCCCGCGCTCACCCTTAGCCGCCTCGCACGGCCCCACCCAGACCGCGCCGCCCGCACCGAACAGCCCGGCCCTAACGGAACCGAGCCGCCCGAACCGAGCCGCCCGATCCGAGCCGCGCCGCCCGACCCGAGCCGCCCGAACCGAGCCGCGCCGCCCGACCCGAGCCGCGCCGCCCTACCTAAACCGAGCCGCGCCGCCCTACCTACCTACCCTACTGCTCCTACTGCTTTTACTACTGCTGCTACCATGGCTAGCCCTCCTGTGCTAGCCTTCGATGCTGAGAGGCGCCCAGTGAAGTTCGACACCTGGCTTGATGACCTACACCTCTTCCTACAGCTCACTGCCAAGGAAGTCATCTCGCTGTACGATCACGCCCTAGGCCACGCTACTGCTCCTGCTGCTACTGCCGACAGCACTGCTCGCTCACAGTGGCAGACTCGTGACGCCCATGCTCGCTTCGCTATTCGCAACTCTCTGCCGATAGATGAGCGCGAGCACTTTGGGCAGCACAAGACTGCACAGGCCCTGTACACTGCTGTCGTTGCCCGCTACTCCTCACCGGCCTCTGCCGCTCTAGGCCGTCTCTCTCTTCCCTACCTCTTCCCAGACTTAGCTTCCTTTCACACTGTCGCTGACCTCATTACCCACCTCCGCACTAGTGAGGCTCGCTTCCGCGCCGCTATGCCTGATGAGTTCCTTGCCACGAACCCACCCCCGCTCTGGATCACTCTCTACCACCTAGTCACGCGCCTCCCTGACTCACTGCGCTCAGTCAGGGACCACTTCCTCGCTCGCTGCCCCACCGAGCTCACCATTGCCCTCCTCGAGAAGGAACTCCTTGCAGCCGAGACTAGCATAGTCGCTGTAGGTGCCTCTCGCGGTGACCCCCGTACCCCGTTCTTTGAGGGGTGTTCTCCCTCCCCCCTTCTTCCCTCTGTCGCCTCTGCTGCTGCTGTCGACCTCCTTGGTGCTGAGAAGGTCGGGACTGCGTCTGCTTCGAGCGGGCGCCGCAGCGGCAAGGGCAAGGGAGGCAAGGGCGGTGGTGGTGACAGCGGGGGTGGCGGTGGTGGGGGAGGTGGTGGCGGGGGGGGTGGCGCGGGTGGGGGAGGGGGCAGCGGTGGTGGGGGTGGCGGCAGCGGCGGGGGAGGTGGCCGGGGCGGAGGAGGTGGTGGGGGTGGCGGTGGACGAGGCGGCGGCAGGGGTTGGGGTGGTCGAGGGGGTGGTGGCGGGAGTGGTGGTCGTGGAGGCACTGGCGGTGGCCAGGGACAGCAGCACACTCCCTCGCCCCAGGAGGTCCGTGAGTGGTACTCTCAGCACGGGGGGGGGGGGGGTGGCCTTAGCTGCACGTACGTCATTCGCACTGGTGACCGCACTGGCCAGCCGTGTGGGGGACCGCACGCCACACAGCGTTGCTTCGCTCGTCTGAGCGACGCTTGGCGTGTTCAGTTCCCTCAGGCCACTGAGCTGCCCCGCTGGCTTGATCTCCTGAAGAAGGGGATTGATATCTATGCTCTAGACTTTGATGCTATTCTCTCTGCCATGTATGTGATGTCTACTAGTGGAGAGGGTTCTGAGTACCTGAGTGTCCCGCCCGACCCGGGCATTAGGACTAGTGCGTCTGCTGCTCCAGGTACCCACGTGTCTGCTACCCCAGGTGCTGGTGAGGCTGCTGCTCTAGGTGCGTGCGTGTCTGCCCCCCCTGGTACGGTGTCGACTACAGCACTGCACACCTTCACCCTGGATTCAGGTGCCTCTCGCTGTTTCTTTCGTGACCGCACTGCCCTTGAGCCCCTTGCTCGGCCAGTTGCTGTCTCCCTTGCTGACCCCTCTGGGGGTCCGGTCATTGCGACCTCCTCCACTGTCCTTCCCTGTCCTGCGGTCCCGTCGGGCACACTGTCAGGTCTCCACCTCCCCTCGTTCTCCACGAACTTGGTGGCAGGTTGTGCACTCCAGGACGGGGGTGTTCACCAGTTCACCCCTGCCTACGAGCGTGTGACACACTGCACGTGTGCTCGTACGGGCCGCCACTTGGCTACCTTCACCCGGCAGCCGGGGTCGGACCTGTACACACTGACTACTGCCTCCCCTCAGGTCACTGCGTCTACGTCTGCGTTTGCGTCCGCGTCAGGTCAGCTGTCTGCCCCCTGCTCGTGTCGCTCTCTAGCGCACGAGACTGTCCTCTGGCACCACCGACTTGGCCACCCGTCTGTGCAGCGCCTTCGTGCCATGCACTCCCGGTACCTTGTCTCTGGTCTTCCCAGGGTCCTCCCTCCCCTCCCACCCTCGCCTGCTCCTCCCTGCCTTCCCTGTGTCGAGGGGCGGCAGCGCGCCGCTCCTCACTCCTCCTCGTTTCCCCCGACGACTGCTCCTTTGCAGACGCTCCACATGGACGTGTGGGGCCCAGCCCGCGTCCGTGGTCAGGGTCAGGAGAGGTACTTCCTGATCGTTGTTGACGACTACTCGCGCTACA